CACCCGTCATCTTCCCTATCTAGAGCATACAAAACCTTGATCAAGTTAACTTGACTTCAGGACTGTTTCAACAATTTAATAAATTTTAATCACCATTTTGACCCCCTCAGATCAATATCACTTTTTAGTGAGTTACCTGATTCCCCTCAATACAGGCAATGTCTGAGAGAATGATGGCCGCCCGTGACTGGATGTCATCCACCTCAGAACTGAGCAGCTGGATGAGGATGGGGCCAGCCTTGGCTTTCGACAGAGCCAGGCGAATCTCGTAATTCTCCGAGGTGTTGCACAGGACAGACGCAGCCACAGACTGAATCTCTACATTGTCCAGGTGCAGGAGACTCACTAAGGCAGGGACACCATCTGAGGAAAAAAAAGCATTGCTCGAGTCAGAGAAAAGAACATTGACAACAATAATTGTCGTACTGGAGGAGAAGATGTGTGAGAGAGCGTGTGTGAGCACACGAGTGTGCGTATGCAAGTGTGTGCATGTATGTGTGTGTGTGGGTGTACATGTTTGTGTGTGTGCATGTGTGTGTGTGTGGGGGGGGTGTGGATGAGGGTGTGGGTGTGGGTGTGTGAGTGTGTATGTGTGTGTACGTGTGCGTGTGTGTGAGACTGTGTATGTGTGTACCTGTGTATGGGTGTGTGTACATGGTGAAACACTAAACCAATGCGTCAGGATCTGGGCAATAAAGATGCATCTTATCTTATCTTATCTTATCAAGTCAATTGTTCAAACAAACAAGATGCAAAGGATCAGGTCATGAATCTTTCTAACACAAACACAGGCTGTATAATTGCTGGTGCTAAAAAGAAATGAGAAATGATAAGGAAGTTGAGTTCTGACACATGGGAACAAATATTGCTCATCTCTACAATACATGAAGTCCCTATCAACTATAAACCAACACAATGACATGACTTCTTACTTGCTTCCAGTATGCATTTCCAATGGTCTGGTTTCGATGTTGAGAGCACTTCTAAACATTTCACTGCACTGTCCTTTTTAGCCATACTTTCGTCATTAAGCATATCTGTAGAAAGAGCAATCTCATGACACTGATGGACTGGCAATAAATATAACATTCTTTTTCAGTAATTTATTGATAGATGTATGTATGTAAACCTAAAACAATAAAAGAAAAAATATTGAAGCACAGAGATGCACAATATGGTTCCTACATTTCTTGTTAAAAAGATAATTTTATTAATCCACATAGAGAAATTTCATTTCAAATGACACAACATTTTAGCATAAGGTACACAGAACATCATATTGTTCATGCATTCATATGTATTGAAAAACACCACATCATTTATAGCTGAGATAGAACTGTAGCCTTCGAGCAAAAGTTACAGTGACTCACACAAGGCAAAAGAGCTAGTTTTGAGGCAGGTAAATTTGACAGTGGGTTGATAAAATAAGATGGTCGTTTTATACAGGTGACCGTCAAGGCAGGTTCAACTGTATTTAGAATAGAAGTCAAAATATTTGAGATTGAAGAAGTTAAGGGTAGCCTGGTCTCTGAGGTAAAATTAGCCAGAAAATGACTGTCAAAATTTAGTTTTTCTGTGTCTTTGATCTACGTTTTTCTGTAAAATCCACAGAGAAATATGCTTTTAAATGGAAGTAGGTGTTGAGCCAAATAAAAAAAATTCAACATTATTTTGATGAGAGCCTGATTTCACCACGCTGCCTTACATTTAAATACTTTAAGAGGCAGGCAACATCAACCCTGCCAGTCAGGACCAACCCTAGCAGACAGATAAAGATATTCAATAAAAAACCTTCCCATAAGGAAACCAAACTCACATCTGTGTGTGATGGTGCACGGTAAAGCACCTAACTGCTACACCACAGACGCCAGTTACGCACTGATTGAGATTATCTTTTTTTTTAAGAACAGTGAACAAAGATTACTTGACCATTATCTCTCCGTTCTCTCCCTTTTTTTAACACTGGGCAAGAAACCTTTACAAAACTCTCATCACTTTTTATCAGAACTTCAGTAGCACTGTGGTTGTCGAACCAACACTTAACTATAATGTATTTTAGTTTTAGTAGAGGTTTTACGGCGCTCGCAGCGGCATAAGGTCATATGAGCGCAACTATAATGTATGCTCTAGAAAGAGAATTTAAAAAAGAGGTACAACCTATTCTACTTTATTATGGAAATTTTGTGTTAACAACTCGACACCATATTAAAATGTTATTGATAGGTATATCATTTATAATTTATGCTGTTTTCATGGAAGTCTCTTCTGTAAAATGCGTACGTTTTATGTGTTGCCGGCCAATGGCCTTAAACACTGAATAAAACACCTACCTATGACCAAAAAAAACTAAAACACCTTCCTGCCTTATAAAAAGAAGAGGAAAACTTACCCACTAAAACATCCCACACCGGAGCGTCAGGGCTGTCCATCTGTATCATGAACTCCAGCACGTTGGTGTGAAACCGGAGCGCACTCAGGGTGACGAGATCATTGCCGTCCCCATCCTTGGTACGCACCATAGCACCCAGCTCTATAAGACACTGCACCGCTGACAAACCTCCGGAACTGGCAGCCAGGAGCAAGGGAGTGGATTTCTGACTGTGGACAGAACCAAATGCAAGACAAAAGAATTGTAATAGTATTTTAGTTTTGGTAAGAGTTTTGCGGCGCTTTAACACAATCAGGTCATATAAGTTCCAAAGATTAGAATTGTTACTAGAGTGTAACATACAAATAAAAAAAGGAGGAAAGATGATGATGATAGATGTTTGATAGGAAAGAAGGAGCACACCACACCAGAGCACCCATCAACCACCCACCTTCAAAGTATACAACAACCTCATCACAATAATGGCCACAGAGACAGATTCGACCAAGAGTAACACAGAAAAGAATGAAATGTGTTGAATCGATTTGTTATTGTCCTATGACAAAAAAACCTTGGGTGTGTAATTCTGAAGCCATACTTGCATGATATAATAAGTACCCTCTGGTGTGGTGAAGTTTGCTACCAGCCAACATGAGAAAAGGAAACATACTGCAAATTAAGTGGTTGCATGTGACCTCTAAGGCACGATGGTTATGTTAAAAAATATTGACATAGTGGAACTTATTCATGGGAATAAACAGAGAAAAATAAGGCAATATAAACCATTCCTATGATTAAATCAGTCAAGTCTCCAGTGGACACAGATTCACATAAAATTACATGTTAAAATAACAAACTGCATTTGTAGAGTGATATGCCTACTCAAAAGAAGGTTTATGCACTTATGCAATAACCATTACTGTAACAAATTACAGAACATTCCAAAACATTCTCAGCTTCCAAGAAAGCATTAGAGTGAGTTGCCATTTTACAGGCACTCAAACACTATCATACTAACTAGAAGTGTATGGCATTGGTGGCTCTCAGACTTGCAACTGTAAGGTTGTGGGTTAGAATCTGGTCAGAGATCCAATGTTGTGTCCTTGGGAAAGGCACTTAACACAAATTTTTCTCACTTCACCTAGGTGGGAATGAGCACCTAGCTATAATAGACAGCAAAAGATCTTGTCAGCTGGTTAGTGTTTCAGCACATGCAATCCACAGCTTGCCATGTATGCTTCCGAGAATGATTCCCAATGTTCTAGAGTCTGCTGAGATAATAATAGTTGTAAAGGGAATAGAGAATGCTGTAGAGCATGGATATGCGCTATACAAATACAAATTATTATTATTATCATTAAGTGAGACAGCACTGGCAATTTTTCATAAGTAGTCACCACAACAACTCACTCATTTTTTGTTGGAAGTTCAAGCAAGCCTGTGTTTTTTCGAACCATGAGCTTTATAACAGGCTTATGGTCAAAGAAAGCAGCGTGGTGGATCGGTGCCCATCCATCCTGGTCTGTGGCCAGAATATTGGCATAGTTTGCCAAGAGACATGTGACCCCATCCAGAGAGCCACACCGAGCAGCCATGTGGAGAGCAGTGGGACCTGGGCATAAAGAAGGGAAACTAAGGAATGACAAGAGCTTAAGAAATAAAGAAGACCAGTCACTGTTAGAAAAGCATTCCGATAAATTATAGCAGGACCTAGGCATAAACAAGGTAAAATGCAGTATGTCAAGAGCTTGAAAAATAGAAAAAAATCAGTAATTGTAAGAAAAGCATTCGCACAAATTATAGCCGAAGTATCTGCAAGTAGCTCTCCATGAATGTTAGTTAGAGAGGTCGTAACTTCATCACCAGCAAGACATAAAAATACTACTTCAGAAAAATGCCTGACAAAGAGCCCTAGTTGAATTAAATTAACAATAAAACAAGATTCATTATTTCTTAGACAATTTCTAAATTTGAAAGATAACATTCATATGTCCTCATCATGAATAATGAGAAATTGAATATTAAAAAAGGAAAATATTATGACTACTAATAACATTCATATGTCATCATGAATAATGAGAAATTGAATATTAAAAAAGGAAAATATAATGACTACTATGTCATGAGCAACTATACACTAAATCATTGCGAAGTAAAGCACAGCAAGTGTCTCAATGAAGAACAGCAAACAAAATAGAGTAAAAAACTGATTTAATGAACACATATTTTACAAAACAACAAATTCACTTAGAAATAACTTCAAATGTTAACAACACCCAAATCTAATAGTAATTAAATAAGTAAACATTCGGACAAACCTGAAGGTACTTTTCCCAAAATGAAACAAACAAAACTTTAGAACAAGAGCTACAAATACTTATAAGAAACATATGCACTACCCTGCTAGAAAAGATAATTCTCTACAGTTCCCAAAACATGATCTGTCCCTAAACAACTAGGAACTATAGCAAAAAAATACAGACAGGGAGCAAAACAAACAAAAAAGAAAGAAAGAATGCTGAAAACAAAATGATTGAAAAAACAAGGATAGCAACTCCATTCTGCAGATTACCATCCGGAAATTTTATAAGACTTAGACTCGACGAGGTACTCCTAAAGGAGCGGACGGACACATTTAACGTAGTAGTTGAAATCGTCATTGAGGAAGAAAGTGAACCTGGATCCCACATCCTTCCTGAGAAAACAATGTAAATGGATCTGTATTTTTGCTTTTTAATCTCTCAAACAGCCTTGACTGATGTCACCCTCCTCCAACTACGGCCAGTGCTACCATTTATATTTATGATTATTTATGCCATGACTGCAGTTACTATGACAATTTCTACTCCTACAATAGCCCTGTCTGTTTGCTTAGTGTGTCCTTAAAAATATCTTCTTACATTCAGTGAGCATTAGCCTGTGTAAAAGACAACACAGATCTGTTTCTGTGGTTTACTTACGCATTCCAACTCATGAGTAGAATGTTTTTTGTTATTTTAAGCCAGCATATCAGATATATAATTCACTAAGCCAAACTCACAACTTAAAAAGATATGGAGAGCATACTTTCACATGATTAGGTCCATCAATGCCCTTTCAAAGTAAAGACGGTTCACTGATAGTCTCGAGGAGTTTATAAGAACACTTTACTACGCCTTTTCTAGAAATAGTTAAGAGACTGTTAGCTGGATCTCTGAACTGCCTTTGTAGAATGGGGTAAGTTGTGCATAAAATCATTAGTTAAAAATATGTGGTTATGAGAGTATATAATATTCATACATGTGAGTTTGTGTGTTGTACGTGTGTGTGTGTGTAAGTGAATGTGTGTGTGTGTGTGTGTGTGTGTGTGTGTGTGTGTGTGTGTGCATGAGTGTGTGTGTGCCTGCATACGTGTGTGCAAGCATGTGTGTGCTTTTCATTTGATCCCCACATGAAAAAACTCCGGACCACAGTGGGGTACGTAAGTGCTGTACAGTGCATTTAGTGGTAATGATATAAATTTGTGGTAGTAGAAGTAATAATAATGGTAACAATGGTGGTAGAAGTAGAAGTAGAAGTAGTAGTGGTGGTGGTGGTAGTGGTAGCGGTAGTAGAGGTAACAGTGGTAGTAGTAAGCAGTAGTAGAAGCAGCACAAGCAGCAGTAGCAACAGTAGCAGTGGCAGCAGCAACAGCAGCAGGAGCAGCAGCAACAGCAGTAGTAGTAGTAGTAGTAGTAGCAGTAGTGTTAGCAGCACTATTATCCTTATTATGATTAAAGCCAACAGCTCACCCGTTGATAGAATGTTGTTGCGTCTCACGTTCACATCAACTGCACTCATGAGCAACAGAACCATGATTTGGGGACGATTGTTTATTGCTGCATGGTGCAGAAAGGACAAGCCATTCTCGTCTTGTTTGCTGATTCGAGATCCAGTCATCTTGCGAGCCAGAGCACTGAACATAGCAACCATCCCTCGTTGAGCACAGATTTTCAGTCCATTGAAAGGAGTCTGGTAATACAATGATTTTCATGTTTACAGAGCGATACAATGTAGCAGTAGCCTTTCCTAAAAGTAACTATAAGCTGATCTTTACATAATATGAGCATAGTGCATATAGTTCAAATGTGAGTACAAAGAGAACGTAAAGTATCCTAATACTTTACTCAACCCTATAATTAAGCCTATTTTTCACCAAAAATACCCAGGGCTAAGAAATCCTAATGAACAAATATACTCAGTCTAAAATAATGCTTCTAATATGAAGAATGCCACCTGTAACATAACAATCTCATTGGCTGCATTTGACCAGAATAGCTACTTATAGGATAAAGAGGAAATTCAAGATCAGAGTTGAATTAATCTGAATTTATTTTAGATTAAATGTGACAAACTGTAACTAATTTTAATCATATCCGTCTCAAATGAGGAGGTGGGGGAGAAAGGAGGAGAAAGTCTCTAAACACATCAACTGCTCATCATAAGACTTCGTCATACATCACTCTTTTAAATGGCATAGGGCGGAGTGAGACACTAAGCAGTCAACATGTCAAGTATCTATCCAAATAAATATTCTATGAAAACAGCAAAGTGACTTCTTCAAAATATTTCTTTAATTAGTTCAGTAAGTTTCATGTCTACCTTGCCAATATGAAGAAATCTCATTCAGTTTACCTTATACTTAATGGCTTTCTTGTAACCAAAGTTTTTCTTGAACTGCTCATGAATGTTGTTATCAGGTATGGGCAACCTCTTCGGCTTCAGTTTGTCCATCTCCTCACAGTAAGCTCTGACCCACAAAGGTCGTTGAGGGTTTGTTCCATAAAATGTCTCAAGCTGAAGCATGATGGCATAGTACCTATAATAAAAAATATGTATAACTAATTGGATTTGTCACTTTGTTCACAAGGTAGAAAGGTTGAAAGTAGAAGACTTTTCTTTTCACAGTTTAGATGTACCATTCAGTGTAAGGAGCCAAAAGAAACAGAGCATAAAGAAGAAAGTACAGATCAACTGCTCAATGTCAAAACCCACCAAACGTCACTTTTCAATATGACGCTAGGCGAAGTTTTACAGTTAGCAGTAAAGATGCTGATAAGGATTATCGGTTGCTAACACTATAAAAACCAACAGATGTACTAATTCTCTGTATCTTCCCAATATTATCTCAAGGTGAACTTTCCCCTGGCGATCAAATCTACAACTGGCAGTGCTTGTTACATGATTTCACATTTTACAGAAACACCTGCAAAATCCATCCCCACTGCTTACCTATCCTAATACAACACTGTATTAAAGTCAAAGGGATAAGCCTTAAGGATGCTGAATTACAAACAACAAAAACAGCCAATTTTTATTAACACTTTGCCATCATATTTGGAGGGAAATCAAAAGAAACTGGGGTGGTAAACATCGCCAATCGGCGAGATGAGGCGGCAAAGTGTTAATCAACAGATGTCAGTAACATCATTGCCACTGCTTGCTTTTGATTCATAAATACAGTCAAACCTGCCATGACTGCCACCTGTATAATACAGCCACCTGTACAAACGGCCACTTTCCATTCCCCTCCTTGCGTTTTTTCTATATAATTTAACTGTGTAAAACGGTCACCTGTCCAACACGGACACAGCCACCTTATTTTATCAACCCATGGTCAAATTTACCTGCCTAAGGTGGCCAGGCACAGTCGTTTATTGCCTGACGCTTTGTAATAAATTTTGAATCAGCCCCTCATGCTGTGGACGGGCCGTCATAATTCATTCGCCTGTCGTTATTGTTATTCCCTCCAATGAATGTTTACCCAAGTTGACCAATGGGTAGGCTTAACAATAAATTTTCCACTGCTGGTAAGGGAAGAGTGATCCGTCATAACCTAAAGGCCTATTAAGCCACGCCCACAACTCATGCACAAATCGTGTGTGAGGTGACTGGTCACTGTTTTGTTTACCCAATCTGTAAAAAAAGTAACAATGGATGCTGATATGAACTTGCAACAGAAGCGTTGCTCCTTCTCCGAGTGGTGGCGACCAGGGTATTTGTTTTACCACTGCACTCAGTCTTTATTGTCTTACTTACATAACATTTCGTTTATTTTACCCTTGCACAAAATCAGCAACAAAAAGAAAGCTAACCAAAAAAACAAACCAACAAAACAACACAAAAAACTTCTAACAACACCCACCCCCCTTTTTGAAAAAAAAAAAACCTTTTGAATTAGCCTTACGGCAGTCTAAAGCCTGAGGTCTGCCCTGGTTTGGACCTCAAAAGAGAATGATTTGCTTTCTTCATTTAAATCAGTCCTGCCTAAGACGACCACCTGTGTTGTATGGCCACTTTTCTCCATTACAATGCAAGGCCGTTTTACACTGATTTGATTGTACCTTCAAAACACAATATGCATGTCAAAAGTCTTGTTGCTTTGTAACAAAAAGTATTGGTCTTTGACCAGCATTTTTGTAATACACAACCTCATGACTCAGAGCGTGAAGCCATAAGGTGTGGAAATGCCCCACTTTAACTCTTTATCTCCGGCAAGCCGCTCCCAGTGGCTCGCAATCGGAACCGCTGTGCAAGTGAGCCGCTGGCAGCGGCTTGGCGCATTCCTTTACGATGACTTCAACATCAAATAACTTTTCTGTAATTGCCAAAAACAGGTCTCTTTTACAGAGAGTTCATTCATTAGATGACAAACTATAAAATGTTCACTTTTTAAAATTTAATGACCCATTTAATGACGTTATTGTCATTTTTAGATTTAGTACCAAAAAAGGACCCGGCGTAGTGAGTTTACTCCTCTTGGAGATAAAGAGTTAAAGGCCAGAGTCTGTCTCATTAAACTGTTGTAAAAATCGGGTAGTACATACTCTTGACCATCCACCGTCACCACAGGTATATTGTAGTGTTCTTTTGGAGCCTGATCTAAATGGAGAATGCCATGGAAGCCTACTTGAGCTGCTTCCACAATTTTACTGTAACCTTCAATAAATTCTGATGGAGCTTCTGTCATAGTGTCTGTCTCAAGGTCCATTGTGATGCCTGCATGAAAAAAAAAGACAAGGAAACTAAAAAATATATAAATTTGGGTTCATCTTAGTGAGCTTGTTAATATCTTAGGTTGTTCTTGGTAACAGAAATTAAGTGATAGACCTTTGATGGCCTAATTTAAATCCAAGAGTTAATCTAAAAAGACAGTTTAAGGGAAAATCATCCAACATTTTTAAAAACTTAAAATCAACTGCTTTGTGTAAAACTCCACCATAAGAACCAAGGAAGATGTGAGGGTGTTTCTTACTATTTTTAGGTGTGATAAGGACATTCTTTATGGTAAGGAATTTTCAAATTTTGAATTTTGCCCACATGATGGAATAACAGCCTACTCCTCTATAATTTTGAACCACCAAGGGATCTTTCAGGTGCCCAGGTGAACATGGGATCTCCAAGATTTTTAGTCCTTATCCGAGAATAGTGGCTCCCAAATACACAGTCAAGACCCATGTCTAAGTCACAAGGAAACTTTTTTAGAAATACTGATTTGTTGAAACAAAAGGAACAAACCCTTAAACATTGTTTCTACTCTCAAAATCCACAAACAAAAAATATAAGAAAGTGAAGGTCAGGACCAAAACCATTGTGGGAGACATTGAAACTACAGTATACAGATGCAAATCATCAAGCAAAAAAAGTCTTACCTCCATGGAGATGAAAGTAGTGGTCGTTGAACATGAAATTTTTACATTTGAACTCAGGCCCCACAATGAGAGGAGGAAGTTCTCGTTCCGTACGGCACTCGTCAACTGAGGGATTAAAATATCAGACAAAATGAGAGTAAAATCAGTGCATTAAGTTTATTTTTCCTAAAAGTACATTCTTAACCAAGTCACTTTAACGTTCAACATTATAATATATAATAATAATAATTAATACAGTGATCTTCGGCTTAGGGCATGCATCTTGGGTGATAAGAAAAGTGTGCTATTTTGCGAATAAGCTATTAAGCAAGTTTTGAAGGGGAGTGAACAAGAGTGAGTATTCTGTCAAACTTCACTGATTGATGTGAGAATTGAATAAAGAGAGGAAAATCAGGCTCTCTCTGAAACTCTGTTGACCAATCTAATTCAAACAGTTGACTTGCGAGTACCTCAATTAGCATAATACCCCAGAAGCACCAAATATATATCTCTGCTGACTATCTCAAACAACAAAATCTTGACTGTTATAACGTTATACTAAATGTGCCAATATAAAAACCAAATCTCAAATAACAACAAACCATACATGTCTAAAGTAACAAGATGTAGCAAAATAGACTCCCTTTTCCAAAATCCACGCTTATCGAAACTATAACATATCATTAAAGACACATATCTCACCAGTGGTTGGAGGGTGCCACTGGTCGGTTCTGCTTTATTTCTCTCCACATACAGTCTCTGTCTATTAGAGTTGGGGCGAATGGACAGACGGGTTTGTAACTCCCGGATGCAGTCGGAGTGAGCAAGTAACGGACGGCCATACGAATGGACTGTGAATCTCAAGTTAGTTCATTTCTTGGGTCCGCTCCACAATTTTATTCACGAGTGAGTAGGCGAACGGACAAACTCTAGCAGACAAGATACTCGACATGAGGTTAGGCCTATCATCTATTGTTTGTCAGGCCTAATGTTTCAAGCCACTAGCTGTGCCACATGGAATGAGAGAGGCTGGTGATGTAGCATTATGTGTGTAACCTTTCACCTCACTGTGAACCTTCTAATTTATCATGAAGGCGAAAATTAAAAAGAATTCCGCCCAAAGGCCTTGGGGAGGGGGTAAAATGGCATCTCGCTACAATTTGGGGCAGAAGGGTGATGTTTATTGGGGGGGGGGGGGGGGGAATGCGGTGTAATATAACTGTGGTAGTAGTATGCAATGCACTGAGTTTCTCTGTCCATCTGTCAACCCGCTCTAATGCACAAAGTCTCTCTGTCCGCCCGTCCACTTGTTCGCTAAACGAACAGTTGTCTCTGCGTCCGATGTGTAGAGAGTAGCGAGAAGCGATTGAAGCTTCACAAGCGGACGGTTCACTATTCGTCCATTCGTTTGCAAGTAGTACCAGCAGACCGTTCATTACTCGCCAGTGTTGGTTTAGCGAGCCTGACCCAAACCTACCATCTATCAGTCTTGTTTATTCCTAGCACTTAACGACTGATACTGGCCGATGTGTTTCTTTTTACTTAAACAGAAAACATGCATCTCTATGCAGACTACTATTTTATAATATATAAAATTTGTGTACATCTAAATTAGAACCCACGGGTGGTTGGCGGGTGCTCTGGTGTGGTTTGATCCTCCTTTCCTATCAAAGATCTAGCACCCTTATCTCTCCTCCTTCTTTGTTGTGTTTGGTACTCTCTCGTAACACTCTTACTAAAACACTCACCTCCATACCGGGACATCAGCTTGTTGATGTCAGGTATTTTCATTCTTTTTCTCATGCCCAGTAAGAAAGGCGTCAGGTAACTGACAAGCTTCAGAAGCTCTAGCTGCCTGCGTGTTTCTTGCTTGGCTGCCATGTGTTTCTGCAAGTGGGGACAAGAGTAGGACCTTCGTAATTTTCTATAAGATTGGAGGGCACCCTCAGAAGGTTCAACTTTTCTCTCCTTCTGTTAGTTTCTTCCTGAACTATGCTCCTTATAAAGATATGCTTCTCTTTAACAAAATTATTCAAGATTTCATTATTAAACCTATCACCTGGTGCTCATATGACCTTACGCAGTTGTGAGCGCCGAAAAAACCTTACTAAAACAAACATATCACCTTCCACGACATCTACGAAAAAGTGGGATGGATCAGATTAATTATTTTTATATAATTACATTCAAAAGTTTCTGTCTTTCCTTTGTAACTTGAAGACCGTTAACAAAATTCTTGGGTAAAAAAAAGCAAGAAGAAGGAATATTCGTTCACAGATCTGCTTATCTTTCATAGGTGCAAATTAAAAGGTTTTTTGTCTCTCAAACAATGACAAGTTTGAAATTAAAAAACAGCAATCTCCCAATTTTATTCCTCCTTTATTTTCTCTAATTTTAACGTTCACCTCAAATATGTAATATCTTAGAGAGCAGAGGCATAATGTATACAAGCAACATACCTTGATGATCTCTTCATGCATTTGTAGTCTTGTCTTCAGTCTTTCATATCCAGTATGGTCTATCTGGTTGTCAAGAAGACTTACGATACTGGACACTTCATAATCTGCCCTGTAGGGGAAAAACATCTTTTTCAGAATACCATCTTTAATTCATATAGCTGTGTATTCATTATAATTTTTTTTTTTATCTTCTGTAACAAGCAAGATCATTTTCAAGCCATTTTTCAAGCATAAAGAACCATTCATATTCTTATAAATGTGCATCATTTCTAAATTGTGAAAGGGCTGACAGATTCACAACTTTCATGCAAAGAGAAAATCTCCGATGCTTTAAATTTATACAACATTACAACTGCTCAGTGTGAAACTCCGTTGTATCTCACTTTTCATAATGGTGTATAGCGGAGTCTTACACTATGCAGTCGATAATGATTATTTTCCCCCCCTATAAGGATTTAGTTTCAGTACACAAGATCTCAGCTTGAAGGAGGAAGAGCTGTACACTAGTGAGGAAAAATAAAAAAGGGGACATTTCCAATAAACTGGAAAGTTCCCTACATTCTCCACACTGCTTTAAACTCCATGCAAAACCTCCACAATAAATAAATTTCAAAATATATGTACATTAAAATTACTGGTTGTGATGTTTTCACAGACTCGCATAATCCCTGTTTAAAAAGTAAATAGTCACCATCAAAGTTTCTCAATTTTGAACATATTTTTTTCTTAAACTGTACTTGTAGTAAGTATTCTAACAATTTCTTAATGATAACTGAATTACGAAGGAATTTTACAAAATGGAAAAATAACCACCACATTCCACCAAAAACAAATAACAAATAACAGATCAATATAATCAAAAAAGTGCAAAGAAACAAAAGGAGTAGACCTGACTTTTACCAGCAACTACTACCCAACCATTCATAAAGGTATCAGTGAAACTAACAAGAAGATGATAAAGACCCAGAACAAAATAAGATCTATAGAAATACTACTTACTGCACTATATACATATTCTTGTAGCTTTCTGCTTTATCCTGGCAAAAAGTAAGCTTCATACTCAGACTGTCAACATGACTCATGAAAAAACGACGCTCTTCTGCCATCTCAGCATCCCCTGCAATTTCTGCTGGCATTTCGTCATAGATGTTGCCGAAATCTGGATCTTTTGTGATGTCTAAGAGACCTTTCAGAAAAAAAAATAAAAATTTGTAAGTGTTTTACGGCACTTGCAACACAATAAGGTCATATAAGTGCCGAAGATTAGAGGTGTTACAAGAGAGTAACAAACACAAAAAGAAGGAGGGGAGATAAAGACCATAGATGTTTGATAGGAAAGAAGAAGCAAACCACACCAGAGCACCTGCCAACCACCCACAGAAAAATTATGGGTTTTGCTTTCAATAATGAAAAATTAATTAACAAAACATCAAAGAGCGTCCAAGCCTCTCTAAGAATTGATAAAACATCAGAGCAGATTTCATGAAGAAAGAACACTTTCACTGATAAAAGATTCAATAATTACTGAAAACCAAGCACTGCACTTCTGATATATATACAGAATTCATATCTAGCAGGCCTCACACCAAGTGAAGTCAACATTGCGTAAATCATTGAGTAGACAGATCAAAAGTGGTCTGAAATGCTTCCAAATAAACTGAGTATGCTGCATTACTATGAGGGAGAAAGTTCGGGGGGGGGGGGGGAGAGACTTTCCCAGGCCAAACAAAGCCCATGTAGGCATTTAATAAGGGTATGCAAAAGAAATAAAGCATTAAGATGAAAATTCTGATGTTATGAAGGGTTTCAAACTTAACGCTAAAACAAAATAACAATACACAACAGATAATTATCCCGATGAGCATATCTTTCCACTATCAAAAAATACACATGGCATGTATGGTCAAAATTATCCAATATGCCCACCCGTTGTCAAGGGGAACATTGTCTGTCTCAGACAATTGGACATATTGTCATTATAATATGTGTCACAACACAATGGAATCAGGCGCTCGTCAATTTTTGGGCATATGGAGTTGTTAGTATCATCTTAAGGGTTGTTCATTAGTCTTGCTTTCGATGAAAAAAATATCCATTTATCTAGAATAGAAGTCGAGATACTGGAGATTGAAGAAGGTGGGGTCCCCTGGTTTCAGAAGTAAAATTAGCGAGAAAATGGCTGCAAAAAGTTGGTGACTTCCAAAGCTAAAGAGTCCCTGCAAATTCACATTTTTGTGCCTTTAATCAATGTTTTTTCATAAAAATTCATATAAAAGTGTTTTTGAATGGACAACATACAAGGCATTGAGTCAAAAAACAAAAATTTTTTCAATATTTCCAAACTGGCAGAAAAATGCTGATTTCTCGCATTTTATTATTTTGACAAGCACCTGATTTCACCATGATGCCTCGCATACGGAAAAAAAAACTTAAGGGGGGTGTGGGAAGTGGACATCTGTACTGCTGTTTGTCTTGGACAGGTGGCCATTAGAGCAGATTCAACTGTAGTTTTTTTTTAAAACACCACAAAGTTCTGTTTCACGATGTAGGCCTACATTGTGGACATATGTGTTACTTGACTTACATACATGAGGACAAATACACTTTCCGTCTTTCCTTCCTAAACTGTAAAATGCCATCAATTCACCACTGATTGAACGGGAGTGATTACTCTCTGTAATTCCTTCTCTCTCCTTATTTTTATATCTTCTGAACATAATAATAATAACATAGTCAAGCACCCATAACCATAAAAATATTGAAGCACAGTAACATACTCAAATGGTAAACTCATGGAAAATTGTAGGTTAATAACTCTTATACAGCCTTTGAATCGTAAATGAAACTATCAGTTTTATCAGATTGGGTTCAGTGAAAGGTCTGCATTAACTCTTTCCCTACATTGCAATTTTCCTCACTGCAATACTATTTTGCAGGCTAAAGGGATCGAAATCAAATGGCGGCAGGATCAGAAACGGAAGCCATTCTGCAGACATTTTTTCCATATGACTGTATAAAGGAATAATGTTATTTCTTCTAGACTTTTTACAGAAACACAAAATGTCATACAACAAAATGCAAGAAAACAAACTGCCTATCAGACAATTCAAAGAAAAAGTAGTTTAGGCGTAAAATAGAAGTCTGTGTAAATCTGTAGAGATTATTTATATAAAGAACAAATTTATTGAGCCGCGAAAACAAAATATGGGTCACCTATGCCGTAGAATGCAGCTTGAGATAGAGATTGAGTTAAGTATGCAACTCACACTGCCCAGTTTCACAAATATCACATGAAAATAGTGTAAACATTGATATTTAAAGCATTTACCTGCACTTAGAAACTCAGTCAGAAGAGGCTTCTTTGTCTCAGGTTTTCCGGACGCATTCACATCTAGATTTGTGCGCCATCGTTCAGAGAATTTAGTCCTTTTGTCTTTTGGAAAGTAGGCTCCATGCCATAGTGCTTTCATCATGTAGTCCACAGCTATCAAAAGCTGTCCAATGCGGGTGTCTTGATAGGCAGGAGGAATATTGCACACAGTAGCCAAGTCATAGTTAGCTTCCAATGAGATCAGTGGCGTTTGATGCATTACATACATACCAATTGTTAACTCTCGGATGATATTATGAACCTCTCTGAAAAAGATAATATATTTATATTTAACAATTTCAAAGATTCATAAGACAGAACTAATTGAACAGTACATTCTTTCAAGATAAGATAAGATTAGATTAGATAAGATAAGATATGATAAGATAAGGTAATGAAAGGTAAGGTAAGGTAAGATAAGATAAGATAGATAAGATAATACTTTATTGTCTCAGAGGGAAATCTTTCTTGGCTGTACAGGACAGTAAAAACACATGCAGGTATATATAAAATTTTAATTAGGCCTACATATTACTCTCATTAAAATTCAATGTCAAACGAAAAGTAAAGCTGACAAATGTACATCACATCAGATGAATCATTCAACCACTTGCAGGAATTTAATTACAAGACCCTCGAGTTATATAGATTTATACTTGAAAAAGCAATACACATTCGTGTTTATTCTGACAGCAACCTTTTACTTGACGGTAAAAGACTTTTTTTGTATCTTTCTTTCTTTCTTTGTTCTTAGAGGTACATATCTGTCACTGTGTAATCTTTCAGTTTGTGTGGAAAAGGTGTGTGATGGGTCTTTAATAACACTTTTCATCTTTTTTATACTTGTGATTAAAAAATTTATAACAAATACGGAGATCTGTAAGAGCCTTGTCGCCATTGAGCAGTGCCTGTAGTATACAAAAAAACTCATTCAGAAATACATACACTTTTTTCTAAATATTATGTTGATTTACGAATGACAGAGTAAAAAGATTTATTTTGTACAATCAATATCCTTCAAAAACACACAAGAATAACAAGAATAATAGGATTTTTTAGTACCTATTATTACTGGAAACATGAGCACATAAAGATCATAATGAATGCTTTCCTACCTATAACACAAGGGTGGGCTTTTGTCATCCACTGGAAACAGAATTATTGCTGCGTCATCTTTAGGAGAAATGTTTGAGATAAGACCTTGAGGCTGATCAGTAGGAAGACGAAACACATCTGTCGAAAGCATCCAGTGCGCCATGCTGAATGCCAAGAGTTCTTGACTATCGTATCTTTCTAGATTATCAAAGTAAGACGCTGCCTCTCTTATTAGAGTTCCCATCTGGGAAGTTTCATCCAGAGGACTTGCCATGATTCACCTGAGGAGGATGGGAAATTTTAATGGATACACAAGAACAATTCCATCATTTACAAAACTCTTGAGCGCTATGGAGATAATATCATTTTTTTTCTTATACCTTAAACCTTATACTATACTATACTATACTAGAAAAGCCTACAACATTAAAGAGGTTATAATAAGACAATAGCCTGCGTCAGTAACATCACCCTCATAAACAAATGGGAAGTTGCATGTGCCCGCTCTTGCACACTGAGCATCTATGCTGGCGAAGGCAAAATCTAGCACCATCCCACTACAAAAATAATCTGCTGTTCTTGAGTGTGAAGATTTTTTAAGGTTTGTTTTGTTTTGGATATTTTTGGGTTATTGTTATCTAATCATGTAGCATACATGCATACACAACGTAGCAAAAGCTGGAGGAAAACATAATTCAATTTAAATATTTGTCTTTATCGGGGGGGGGGCGCAAAGTGTGTAAATGAAATTGTTTATTAAAAATACACGTTAAAATGAATTTGCTGGCTTCCTTTTCCTTCCCCTCATTTTCTACAAGCAGTAAAGTCTAAACTATCTTTATCCAAGAACAATTTCAGAAGATCGTGCTCATCTTATGAGAGAAAGTTCAGAGACTTTCCCCTAAGCGTTGGAAATTCTTGGGGCCCTACTCTTTCATAATTTATGCAAAACATTTGATAAAATAGTTTTTGTCCTTTATTTTCTAATGTTTCCATTCTCTATATCTCTCCATGTGGTCTGAAAAAAGAACCTCATTAATGAGTTTTACAGTTTTGATAAGAACACCATTATCTGCAGCGTTCATGCCACTGCAGGCATCAACATTGTTACAAGACGGGGAGTGTCTGGGTTTTGTTGGGTTTTTTATATCCTTGGTTTCTTCTGAACTGGTTCTTTACTTTATGAGCAGAGTGAGAGGGGAACAGTGATGGCACTACCGTTGAACCCAATACTTCCTTTTAAAGTGTATCAGGTTCATAACCTTTTGAAAAAAAATTCTCTTGCACTAAAAGCTTACACATAGATCTACATGTAAAAACTGAAATTATTTTCCTTTTCATGCCGGTTGAACACCCATGCATGACACAAGAATGTGCCATCATTATTGCTACAGAACTATAGTATATAGTATACTAAAGTATTTTTACTGATAGGCTCCTTATATCTGTCTGCTGTTCTTGAGTGTGAAGCATTGAGTTCCAGCTCTTTCCTGATATTTTTAAAGGTTTGGGTTTTTTTGGATATTTTAAAATTGTTATCTAATCATATGGCATACATGCACACACAATGTAGCAACAGCTGATGGAAAACATAAATTCAATTTAAATATTTGTTATTGTTATTATCGGGGGGGGGGGGGGGGGAAGTGTGTAAATGAAATTGTTTATTAAAAACACAAGTTAAAATGAATTTGCTTGCTTCCTTTTCCTTCCCCTCATTTTCTATAAGCAAGTAAAGTCTAAAATATCTTTATCCAAGCACAATTTCAGGAGAGCGTGCTCATCTTTTGGGAGAAAGTTCAGAGACTTTCCCCCTAAGCGTTGGAAATTCTTGGAGCCCTACTCTTTAATAATTTATACAAAACATTTGATAAAATAGTTTTTGTCCTTTATTTTCTAATGTTTCCATTCTCTATATCTCTCCATGTGGTCTGAAAAAAGAACCTCATTAATGAGTTTTACAGTTTTGATAAGAACACCATTATCTGCAGCGTTCATGCCACTGCAGGCATCAACATTGTTACAAGACGGGGAGTGTCTGGGTTTTGTTGGGGGGGTTTTATATCCTTGGTTTCTTCTGAACTGGTTTGAGCAGAGTGAAAGGGGAACAGTGATGGCACTACCGTTGAACCCAATACTTCCTTTTAAAGTGTGTCAGGTTCATAATATTTTGAAAAAAAATTCTCTTGCACTAAAAGCTTACATATAGGCCTACATGTAAAAACTGAAATTACTTTCCTTTTCATGCCCGTTGAACACCCATGCATGACACAAGAATGTACCATCATTATCGCTACAGAGCTATTGTACTAGCATTACCACTTAAGTATTTTACTGATAGGCTCCTTATAATATATATTATATATATATATACAGTGGAAACCATATATAACAGGTCCGGTAATAACAGGGATCCGGTAATAACAGGGATTTTTAGAAATCCCCGATTTTTCTTACTCTTTGTCTCTATTAAAAGTTATCGGCAATAACAGGGCCTCTTTGGAGCCCAACCGGTTATAGCAGGGACAAAAGCTCGTTAACAATGTGTAGAAATTAAGAGAGAGAGAGAGAGAGAGAGAGATAGATATACAGATAGATAAAGAGAGAGAGAGAGAGAGAGAGAGAGAGAGAGAGAGAGAGAGAGAGAGAGAGAGAGAGAGAGAGAGAGAGAGAGAGAGAGAGAGAGAGAGAGAGAGAGAGAGAGAGTAACGCAGTGATGGAGCAAGCCTACGCTATCCATGCCACTGCAAGCACGCGCAGCGTGTAAAGCGAGAGAGGGCTGCGGTGTGCTGGTTACCACGATCTAGCCCGAAACCTAGCAACACGCACGCGTAATGTGTCGCCAACGATGTCAAGCGCAAGAGAAAATGCCTTTCAGTTGACAAAATAAAACAACATGAAATAATCCAGGCTGTTGACAAAAAGCAAGCTCCACTGGCAGGGACTACCCAATGCAGCTGCTGTGGATCAAGCTCTTCTGATGTGATTTAAGGAGGAGGCAAGGAGAAAGTTGGTGCCAAAACCCCTGTTCGTGGGTACTTGTGGCCAAGGAAACTACCCATGAATAAGTACAGCTGGATTAGTCCACAAATGCTTACTTTCCTTGCATTTCTGATTTAACAGGGATCGGATATAACAGGACATTTTCTCTACTCCCACCATCCCTGTTATATCAGGTTTCCACTGTATATATATCAAGGAGCTTAGAACTAATGGAGCCTCCTCTCTCTCTTCGCGGTGGGGATCAAATATGGCGACTGACTGTGGGCTAAATCACGAACTGTGGCGTTTCTTTTTATAGAATCTTATCGGGCTGGGCCACGCTGTGGGGGTGGGTGGGGCGGGGGAATGCACGCAAGGAAGAGGGGATGGGGCTGGAATGAAAGAGGAGGGGCGGGCCTTGAGAAGGGACGAAGGAGAATGGGGAAAAATAAATAAGAGAGAGAGAGAGAGAGAGAGAGAGAGAGAGAGAGAGAGAGAGAGAGAGAGACAGACAGACAGACAGACAGACAGACAGACAGACAGACAGACAGACAGACAGACAGACAGACAGACAGACAGACAGACAGACAGAGAGAGAGAGAGAGAGAGAGAGAAAGAGAGATTGTGATCAACTGACGCGCTGACGGATAATGACAGGGAGAAAAAAAAATTATGTGTGTGATACGGACTGTTCAATTTTTTAAGAGTTTTATGTTATAATCTAGTTTAAAAATCAAAAAGATGTGTAAAATAAGAAGAAAACTTGTCGTCCGAGTAACATTAAATTATCAAACATACCAAATTATGAAGATAATCTTTCAAGATGCTAAAATATTTAATTATAAGAAATGGATAAAAAATATACTTTTAAACTGAAGTTAAGATATATGATTGCATGATTCTAGGCGTGCGCCATAACTAACTTTATGTGTAAGGAATAGCGGACACAAAAGAGGGTCGATGTTTGCTTTATCTAATTGCTAACAGTATGTCTTGGTCTATAAATAAAATTATTGATCACAATCATTTTGTTTCCTGGTTTTCCCAAAGTGGAGCGCACAATGATTTCAAATTTTTTTTTTTTTTTAAAGAGATAACAGCACCCTTGGAGGTGTGATCGCATGCATGAGCGTGGATAACCTTTGAAGGGTTGGGGTTTTTTGTTCAGTAAAGTATGATATGGAGAGCAGCGTTTTATTAGTCCCTTATTACACTCCAGAGGGGGATAATTTATCTTAGTGATGACTCTTGTGTAGTAAAATTTGTTGTTGCTTTGTTTGGTTTATTTTTTAACAGTAGAATCTTAAGTGAACCGGAATTATTGATTGTGGGATCTTAGGTGAAGACTGCAACAATAGACTTAAACCAAGCATAGTTCTATCCAACAAGACTCAAACTCTTATCCACCCCACCCTACCCTCTCCCCTCATCTGATATGGTTTGGTGTTTCTTTAACATAGAAAATATTCATCATTATTGTTGTTGAGTATTGATTTCATGTTCTAATGGAGCCTCTAGATATCTACATTTAGACTACAGTAGCATTTAATTTGCACACACAAAGGAAAGCAATATCTTTAATTAAAATGTATAATGTGTATATACATACACACTCATAATAATTAAATATACTCAAAATAATTATATATATTTATGAATAAGAATACTTTTAAACCTCAAGTCTTTCTGCTGGGGTGTTGTATCTCTTTCAGCCTGGGTTGGCCTTGGCATGTAGCGCCGGAGCCAGCCTCTTATGAATATTAATGATTTAAATTGTGTTGCTGGGGGCATAGAAACACTTTCATTCAAATTTTTTAAAAGGGAAACAACTTAACTGTGAAAACTTCGGTCCACTGCAGCATCATATCGGTTCTTACACTTAAATACAACACAGGTGCAAGGCATTTTTACTAATTGACTTGCCTAATCTGAAGGACCTCAGAATAAAACCTTCTTTCTTATCTAGATTTCAGTGCCTTCATCGGGCAATCGCGCAGCGCAGGTAGCCCACGGTTCCGCCGCAAGAGAGGGCTCCTATCAGGCGTGCGGCGCCGCCAACAGAGCATCCTCCATTACTTTTAATCTCCTTGATATATATATATGTGTGTGTGTGTGTGTGTGTGTGTGTGTGTGTGTGTGTGTGTGTGTGTGTGTGTGTGTGTGTGTGTGTGTGTGTGTGTGTGTGCATAGTGTGCCAACTCTACCATTTTGCCTTCACTGGTCTATGGCAGATAATTCACATTTCAAATCTGGTTTGCATGGTGACTACCACAGGCTCTAGAGTCATAAACATACCATCTTTGGCTGCAAACAAAAGATAATATATAGGCCTACATACTCCAAAAAAAGTAGGCCAACACTGGAAGAGTGAGCACAGCAAAATAAACCTTTTAACCATTATATCAACTTTTAAAATAATTCTACGAAATGAAAAAAACTTGGCTTAGTAGACAGTTTGTTAAAATCTCATTATCACTTATGAGTGCAACAGCAAATAACAGCAACAGAACATGAACATCAATAAGAAGTTTTATTATTCAACTGAACTGTACTTTCTGTAGGCCTCCTATAGGCTACTTCTACAGAGACAACAAAGATACATCAATGCAGTGATTGTGGTTGTACCAACTCGAATAACAACAAGAAACTCCATTGAAGCTTATTACCTAAGTGCATTTTATCTTAAGCAGTTATCACTGATAATGATGACAGGTCTGAGTGACAAGTAACACTCATCAGGACTAGGTGTGACAGAATTTGATTACAAGATACCGTAGTGTGAGTGTGCTTGTGTAGAGGACATTTCAAATTTGAGATTAGGATTTACTGGAATCGTTATCAGCTTAAAACGGCAAAATTACCATACGGCGTATGATACGCAAATAATAAAAACAATAGATCAATAATTTTGCTGACAGCACACTTCTGTTTTAATTATTTTGCCTACAACTGACCCGACACTAATGAACTAGTTATTAATTATTACGGTTGTCAACAAGACTAGAAATGTGGCGTCCATAGTTTCAGGACCAGTTACTAAAATATTAAGAAGTAGAAACAATAGTTACAAGATAACACCATTATAACTTTCCACATAAAAAATGTTCATAAGTTGGAAGCAGATTCTCACTTGATTGTGCTCAGTCTGTTCAATTTATTCCATTAACCGCTACCGGTTTACAACTTTCCCAAAAGCCATTCGCAAACTGTCAGCCATGATTGTTTTCATTGGACACTGCCAAACTGTTTCACGTCTCACATCTCACATCTCGCGAGACTAGTCGATAGGCAACACGGTTGTTTCTTTACCCTCTTCCATTAGATATATATATCTAGGCCTTATGATGCAGAACATTGGGAGAGGGGAGCATTAACAGTACTGTCTTAATCGATCATATATATTAGAGAAAACCACGGAAAGAACCGAGGAAAAAATAATTCACTGTTTGCCACTGTTATTGTATTAGGTCGTCCCTTGATTCCATGCACATAACAATTATTTTATGTACTGAATAATAAAGTATAAACGCAAAACTCGCAAAGGACACCAGTAATTATTGTTGGTCAACTTTCTGCTCCTACTGTCATTCGCGTTATATGTTCTGCAATAATACTATTCCTTCTGCCGCCCCCCCCCCCCCCCCGTTTTTTTACTTCCTAATTCTTTGAATTCATCCTTATCCTCTCGCCATTCTTTTTCTACCTATTTTTAATTACTTTCCCTCTCATCCGCTGCATATCTCCGTTCTTCCACCTTTTCTCTATTATTCTTCACCAAGGAGTTTACCGTAGTTCTAAGCTCCTTGTTCTTCACTTAATAATATTGTGCACGTCATGTATCTTACATCTTTTCTCATTCTGAGTTTCTTCGGATTGCGTTGATGTGGGTTTCTCCTCTCGTTCGTTTTTATTTTTTCCTTTCACTACATTGTATCTTTTTCTTTCGGAGGAGTTGGTTCGACTTTGCAAGAATTTTAATTTTTAATCCGATTTGTAGTGACGCTTCTCTGGGTGCGACTATATTTTTTAAAAGTATAAGTAAAGATCTTTTTAGCTTTCTGCTCCAAAGCATAAATAACACTAAGTTTTGAAACAAATAAAAAAAGGGGGGGGGGGGGGGGGTTCAATGTTAACTGCAACTAAGCTGATCCGTTTTCATTTCAGCTGTAGTTGAAGCACTTCCAGCTCACGGTTCATCTGTGTAACTACTCAGGTTAAAAACAATGTACATATAGGCCTTCCAAATAGGCCTATGCCACCCCCCTCCTTTTTTCAACCTTCTTGCAGTATACTGTTAATGCCCATTTCACTGAATTTCAGCACTTTAAATTAAGTAAGACACTAAGAGACTGGACCTCTGAACTAGCTCACATCAGTCTCCCGTAAACTAAATGAGTGCAGAACCTTGAAAAAAAATCCCTTTAGGATTCGAACCCTGGCCATCCACATCGAAGCCCATTGTGATATTAACTGAGGTAGTTGCCTGCCATTTTTTTTTAGTTTAATTGAGCCACTTTTTTTCTATTCTCTCCATGGTGCCACAGACAATTTTTTTAATTTCCCCCTTTTTTGTTTATTTTAGTAGGCCTAAGCATTTTAAAGGCACTTACAACCCAATAAGGTCAATTTAAGGGCCAAAGATTAGAGAATAAAGATTTTACAAGAGAGTAAAAAAAAAGAGAGAGAGATAAGGACATTAGATGTTTGATTGGAAAAAAGGAGCAGACCACACCAGAGCACCCACCTACCATCCATGTGCACGTTTCAACCAATTCTAACCACTTAGCTCTTACTCTTACTCTTTCACTACACTAATTCTTCTTGTTCCAAGAAAAAGGAAAAAGTTTAATCTTTTAGCCATGTATAATAATAAGCCTTATGACCATTGCTAAACTATAGGCATTGTTGTGCTCATTTTAGGTTGTTTTTGGGTTGTTGTTTTTTAGTTTTAGCTAATAAGGGTTGCACCATATAGCATTTGCAACACAAATAGGTCAGTAGTAGTAGTGGTATAGGGTTTTACGGCGCTCGCAACTGCGTAAGGTCATATGAGCGCGCAAAACACTAGTTGTTTGCATTCGCAACAGTTCACTGCACGGTTGGTTAGCTTTTACTTTTAGTAGACTTTAATATGTTAAAATGTTTAAAAATCAATGTAGATATATATAAATTTTCGATCTAAAACAATTTTTCTAGTTAACATAAAAATTTTAAATAGTATCAATTTCACTTTACAATTTGCCATAAAGGCCAATGGCCTTTATAAAATTCAAAATTCTGCTGGGAACAACGACGGAAAAAATGTCTTGCAATTTTTTGCATTGATAATATTTCCTTCGGATCTCTCCAAAGTTACATGCGATGAAAAGAATGAGAGATAAAGGCAATAGATGTTGGATAGGAAAGAAGAAGAAGCAAACCTCACTAGAGCACCCGCCAACCACCAACATGCTCATTTTATTTGATGGTTTAAGCCATCCCCCCCCCCCCCCCCCCTATTTCCCAATTGCCCTCATTCAACCAGATGCAAATCTGCTTTATTGCCCACCATTTGAACAGGAAACTCAATGTTCCTTACAGATTTCAAGCTATTGTCAATGTCATTAAATATTAATTTTACATTATGATGTCTTTCCATAAGTATTAATCGAAAAGAACACTTACTTGAGGTCTTTCTGCAAAATACATGTAATCCAAGAGTTTCCAACATCACCAACTCACACAAACACATTTATTTTTGTTAAAAGACGTTTATGTAAAACAGTTGAAGTTGAGGACAGCATTTATTCAAACTTTTATTCAAAATCACAAGTCTTGCAAAGTTGTATTGTTTTTTTCCAATGAGAAAGAAGAAATAAAAAGAATCAACTTTCTCACTATGTGAGTATGTATCCAAAACATACACCAGAAATCCACTTATAGTCCATTAGTTTACTTTACAAAAGATTATTTGTTAGCCTTGTGAAACCAAAAAGTCAACTTTTTACAGAAGAAAGACTTATCACCAAGTCGGGAAAACAGCCAGAAAAAAACAGTGAAATAAAAAGAAAAAGGAAGCACATTCTACAACGTATGAAAGCAAGTTCTTCCTTGAGAAACAAGACCAAGACCAAAGTTAAGTGAGAGAATAATAGTAGCTTCTAACACATACTTGGACAATCTCTGAGAGATGAAAAAGAGTCAAATGCAAACCAAAGCATCCAATAGCAACACTAATTTAAGAAGCAATAACATAACACAGAATAATCCTGAAACCCCGCACAAAATGACTTAGTCCTCATCGCACCTTGATTTTTAAAAAACAAACAAAAAACATTCAACAATTTCAAAATAAAGCATATTATAAACAAAACAAAAAAGCTTACCAATCCCAACTTGTCTAAACAAGGCCAGTAAAGTCAAATACAATGGAATCCACTTATAACGAGTCAGGAAAAAAACGAGAAGTCTGTTATAAAGACACTATTCTAAAACCCCGTTTTTTTTCTCTTCTTTACCTTTGTAAACAAAATACCGCTATAGCGCCATTAGACAAACACGCACATCGGTTATAGCGGAATATTGCTGCTGCTGTGCACAGAACATAGGTCAGTTATACATAATGTAAAACCTCGCCAGTTGAGAAACTTGTTGGTGATCTAGCGAAACAAAGAATGGGAGAGCCCATGTGTGTCAACAATGAAGGCCGGAGCGACTGAGTCGGGAGGGTGTGGCATGCGCAGACAAGCAGAATGCGTCGCGTGATAGGTCAGTGTAAGCCTAGTTTAGATTATCAAGGCCTACCAAGCCTCTCACTTCTCCGATGCGGGAATGGAGAGGTCACAGTGATTTGAATTTGATGGTTGGAACGAATGAGTGACGTGAACAAGCTGACGGAATGCACCGCAGGGTGTGGTGGGGTGGGGGGAAAACTCAGCGGGCGAGTTAGCCCAAAGCCCTTTCTTTCTGATCGCCAACCCCAAGCTGTCAGTCAACATCGCTAGATCTAGCTCTAGAGAAAGAAACCTGATTCGATTTTTTATCAAGTAAGACCTCAAGGTCATGTTGAAACAAATTCATCATCAGGGGAGATAGCAAAAGGAAATAAACAAAACACCAAACTCATACATCAGGCCTACTTTACAGTTTCCTTTGAGTTTATTGCTGGATCCCTTATAGCAAGAATCCTGCTATAAAGGACAATTTGCTCCGGTTCCCCCCCTCTCGTTATAACAGGATTCCACTGTACATTTCTGGTAGGAAAGGAGGTAACACTGAGTACAAACTTTTTCTTTCTAAATGATGAAAACACACTCTCTCGTTAATCCTCATGACCAGTTATACGGATAAAAACAGACTAAAGGTCTTCTTGAAAACAGACACATTCTCACTTCTTTTTCTTTACAATGAAGGAATGTCATCTGACATTTTGACAAAAAAAAGATTGAGTGTACATGAAAACATTCCACGCACAGCCATCAGTATTCCAGCCTGAAGACATCATTGTCAGACAAAATATCTTCTTAAAAAAGAGAGAGGTTCCCAAAACAATAGAATAACATTATCGACATTATGAGATGCACACATTTATATATATATGTATATACAAAAGTACATTATACACAAGTTCAATAAGCTGATTCATATAGGCTGGCAGTTCCTCAGTTTTATCAATTAAATACAAATTGCTGAATTATTTTTGTTTTGTTTTAGTAGAGGTTTTACGGCGCTCACAACTGCATAAGGTCATTTGAGCGCCAAGGGGTGGATGCCAACAGAGAAGTCCATACAGGGAATCAGACAGCTTCAACAGCACAAAATCTGCTTCGACTATCAAGGCACCCGGAAATGGAGGGTCACAAGAGTGTGACAAACATACAAAAGAAGTAGAGGGAAAATGACGATAGAAAGGATAAGGAAAGAAAAAAAGCAGTTTACCTGTTGCAGTTCAGGCGCAGTAATGAGCATGACATTGATGAATCAGCCCATTCACAATTTTACAATTCTACTGTGCATAAGAACATGGTTAATGTCCCCACTTTGGGAATGGCCTAAAGACACTTCAGTCAGTAGCACCACCCAGGGGGGTAAATTGCTGATTTGTAACCCGTAGTCTACAACCAGAATTCAAACCATAGCCACATACAATATAATAGAAACAAACAGTCATATACACAACTTATTGTTTCACCACTGAAAAACATAAAGCAGATTTTTCAGCTTAGCAGAAGAAAACTGCGATATCCTAAATGGTGTCTGAATCAGGAGTGTCAAACTCAAGGCCAGCGGGCTGCATCCGGATCCGCAAACAATTATATCTTGCCCACAAGAGAATCTTAGGTAGTCCACCCTGAGAATCTCCATAACACAGACCCTTACTTACTCAAAACACAAACGAACTTGTTGCCAAGAAAAGATGTCAAATATCCAGCTCTGACAAATTGGCATATAAGAAGCACAAATTGGTATGCCTAGCAAGGATTTTTTTATTTTTTCAACTTTTGTCTGTTTTAATTCCTATCATTGTTTAGAAAAGGCTTAGACTTCCACCGCTCAACGAGTGTTGATCTAGTTCAGCCCGCAAAGTTAAGTGTAATTTGAGTTTGGCCTTCTCAGTGACTGAGTTTGACACCCCTGCTGAAGGGTAAAAATTCATATGAACAAGTAAATTGGAAAAGACCCTTAGGGCCCTTTTGATTGGTGTATTATTTCAAACTCAGCTGAACTCTGTGTGTCAAAATATTAAACAATTTCTACGACAGTTCTAAAAAGAAAGTATGGAATTTTAAAAAAACTCAAAACACAATAATTGAACCACAAATGCTGAAACAGTGGAACTGAAAGTTATTGAAAAACAAAAGAAAACTGAAAAATGTAATAATCTTTCATGTTTAAGGTGGAAATTGTCCAATCAGACTTCATCAAATACATATACTATATACATAATTCTAAAAAGGCAGTTTCAATATCGCACATGCAGAGTGAAAAATTTGATTCTGTCTCTTCACACACCACAGTCTAGCTTTTAATTCATGTTCCCAAATAACAATGTATCTGAGAGTAAAATATCGGGTACAAATGCACAATTTGTGCCTTTCCAAAAACTCTCACTTCGTCAACTCAAAAATGTTTTCATCGTACTAAAGATGAGGTAAAGGAATTTTTTATTCCAAAGCACTGCAGTTACCATTGTTCAAAAAATGAAAATTTACTTCTAAATGCCAGAAAACACACATTTTGAAAAAAGGTCTTTGCCAGTTCACATAATTATTGTAGAACCTCTCAAGAGAAATATGCCGTCAGTGTCAATGCCCTCAACGTTGAAAATAATAACACACCTTTACAGGACTCTGAGCCTATTTTAAGACACACAGCCTTTCCTTACATTAACTGCTTCACAAGATTGAGCATATATATATATTGGTACGGTACATCAAAACTTATTTTGAGTTCATCTCAAGCAAAAATTAGCAAAATTTGGGGTACTGTAGGTTAACAATTTGCTTGTGACACCAATGACAGGATTTCAAATGGACATATTGTGTAAAGTAGGTCACCGAGGCAAAGCAGAAACTGTCAACACAAGATGATGAGTACAACAATACATCATGGATTGAATACTTCACGACTGATCGATAACTGTCTAAAAAAAGACGAAATATCTGCGAAAGCATCTTCACACACCATCGATACCAAAAGATTTAAATAGGAAGACTGAAATGTTACACATTTTATGAAACATTTATTTGAATGAAGAAAAATGTGAAAATTGTATTGCACAAAATTCTAAAGATACGAGCAACCTTGTTTACGTTCTTATTTTTTAAAATTAATTTTTTTTAAACAACAACAAAAACAAGCACTATGTGGAAGAGAAGCAATGAAACCAATGTTTTCCCAAACTCTCAAAGATTCTGGTGACATAATAATTCATGCATTTTATAGTTATGTGTTCCAAAGATTTTGATGAACAAAGCTTCCACGTTAAGCACTGAGCTCAAACAAGTACTTAAGTCTGTCAAAGTGCTTAGCACCGAGGACATAAAAGAGGAAAGATAATTGTACACATGCCTATATTGAAACTGAAAGAAACAAGTTCGGCCTTGCTTGTTTACGGAAAGAACCAACAATGAACTACTTCTTTTTGCCAGATGTTAGCTACAAACATTACAATGTTACAACGAAACAGCTCCACAACACCGTGACTTTTCAACAAACTACTTTTGTGCAATCAGTCACCAGAAAACACTTAACTATTCAGACAATTAAGACTAAAATTATTCAGAAAAAAAGAAAATACAGCACAAGCGAGGACACAAGTGTTTGGGGGAGGGAGATGTGAGCTTTAAAAAAAAAGTTGTTTTGATGGCAAGTAAAGAGATTGTTTGTTCATGTTAACAGAGAAATTTGAAGCCATCCTATTCAAAAATGACTACAGCTTACTTTTTATCAGTGAATCTTAACACAGCACGGCGGAATCAGGCACACGTCAATTTTTTAGCATTTAGAGTTATTGGTATAATCCTGCAGCTTGTCCACACATCTTGCTTTTGATGAAAAAAAATACTGATCTATCTTGAAGAGAGAAGTCCCGATATTTGCCATTCAAGAAGGTTGTGGTCACCAGGCTTTAGAGTTAAAAATAAGTGAGAAAAGGGCCACCAAATTTGGGGGACTTTCAAAGCTTGAGTGTTCTTGAAAACTGCAAATTTACATTTTTTTGCCTTTGATCAACATATTTTTGTAAAAATCTACACAAAAATGTATTTCTCAATGGATATAAAAGGTGTTAAGCAAAACAACAACAAAAAAAGCGATAAAAATTGCCCAACCGATGGAAAAAATGTCCGTTCCATCTATTTCTTTATTTTGACGAGCGCCTGATTCCACCATGATGCCACAATGTTAGGTTGAAGTTGCTTTCAAAAAGTTTTCTCAAGATGACTTCAGAATAAGATATATTGCAATTTAGACATCTTTTAGATGGATAGGCCTCTTACCAACAAATTCATCAGTTTTGTGATAGTACAAATCTAATAAGCCTTGGTATGCAAATTCATGCATGTGTTAAAATGAAGGTACTGTAAAGCGCTTAAACCTGTACTGTACAGGAGAGGGTACTATAGGAATTTTTCTCACCAGCCGTTAGGCTCTACGGTGAAACTTGAGAACCGCTGTACCGGCCGCTGGTCAGTTCGCTGGTTACCCCCGCGAAAGTCAGACATGTTTTTCTAGCTCCGCTAGTGCTACTTTCATTCACTATTGTATACTTATATATTCTCTCACGGATATTCTCGGTCATTGAAGTTTTATCAGTTTCCAAGATCACTGAGATCGAAATTCTTTACAAGCTTTTTATTCTTTTATTAATATCACCAAAATTCCAAAATACTCTACCATTCTGTTATCGGCATAAAGCCATCTGCAACACTGGATCTGCAGTCAAAACTTTCAGTACCCGATACGATAGAATTACTTTGAGTTGACAATGACATCTGGCGGTGAAATTTCTCCTAAGTTTCTTTCTGATATATATATGGAAGATGAGTTTGCTGCTGAAAGTGCTCCGCGCAAGGATGATATATATTATAATAGATAACACCGCCCTTTGAAGCCTTAAAGGCCAATATAAAAATTATGGAAGAAATGAGGAAGGAATTAAATGCTTTAAAGTGAAAGAAATGCAACAGATCGCCATCTTCCTCCCAAAGTTCACCCACCTCTCACCCTCCCACAAGCCTCTCCCTGCCCAGTGACCACTCCTCGGACACAGATAAGTGGGAAAGCCAAGAGCGAACAATCACTGATGCTGGGAAGGTCTCCTTGGGTATATCTGAACTCTACACCAACCATTGACCTCTTTGCCTCTAGAATAAACAGGCAGGTCGAATGCTATGCCTCATACAAATCTGACCCAAAGGCCTTTGCCATTGATGCATTTACTTTAAATTTGCTAGCCTTTGATTTCATTGCTTTCCCCCCTTTTTCCCTTGTTGCCAGAGTGCTGCAAAAGATTCAAAGCGATCATGCCACAGGGATGGTAGTGACTCCAAACTGGCCCAATCAGGGGTTCTACCCAGTACTGATGGGGATGTTGATAGACAGACCAGAGCCGATCTCAGCCAGAAGCAACCTGTTGTGCCTGCCATCATCACCCAACCAAAAACACCGACTTTACAAGTCACTGAAAATTCTCATTTGCAAAGTGTCAGGCAAATGAAGATTAAAGCTTTTCACAGAGAGCAACAGAAGCCATCATGTCTTCATGGCAACCACAGACACGAAAGACTTATGCCATCTACATCAACAAATGGCCTGACTGTACCAACAAGGAGCCTCTTACTCAGCACTGTGCATCGCGAGATCTGCCCTCTCCTGTGTACTAAACACCTCACAGAGTGTTACTTTCGGGAGCCCGCCCTCTGCGAGAAGACTTATGAAAGGGTTCTATGAAATCAGACTCTCTATTCCCACAAAGTCTAAAATTTGTACTTGGAATGTTGATAATGTGTTAGAGATGCTGAAAATTTGGTGGCCATTACCTGAAAAGTCAGTATGCTTCTAGCACTTCTCACAAGCCAACGTATCCAAACATTGCGTGCTTTAGACATTAACCATATGCGGTTAGCAGAAAAAAGCTGTACTTTCTTCATCTAAGATTTGTTGAAACATTCAAGCAGAGACTCGTATCAAGCCCCAATTGAGCTGCTGGCCTTTTCTCCTAAACCAGAGTTATGCATTGTGAAGCACCTTCCCTCCCCTCCCTTGTTCTCATCTAAATTATATTCCTATCGTGAAATTGAAAAGAAAAGAAAAACAAACATTCATAAGCTCCCTCTCAAGTCTGACCAGCTACCGGTACCGCGGTTCTCAAGTCACACCTCCATTCCTGACGACTGTTTCCACAAAACTGGAAACAATCATCACCTTACCAAGGTAAGCCTCGCTTGTTTCTCTAATTATCCATGTTTTTATTATTATTATATCATCATTACTATTATTACTATTATTATTATTACTAGCTTTTATCACAATAGCCATTAAAGCCACCATACAAAAATCTGACATGATCATATAATGGCAGTTGGAAAAAGTCAAATTACTTTTTGAAAAACTTTTTGCACCTTAACACCTCCACCCCTCACCACTGCAACAAGTATACCTGAGGGCAGTCACTGAAATATTTTCTGACTAGGTTTTTAAAACATTATACACCTATCAGATTTTTTCACTCTAACTTAGAAACCCTAAGCCCCTTTCGGGGTATGTATGTTTTAGTAAGTGTTTTACAGCACTTGCAACATAACAGTAAGTACCAAAGATTAGAGGTGTTACAAGAGAATAGCAAACACAAAAAAGGAGGAGGACAGATAAAGATGATAGATGTTTGATAGGAAAGAAGGAGCAAACCACACCAGAACACCCGCCAACCACCCACGGAGTATGTATAAAATAGCGAGAAAGATCCTTTTATTAGGGTGCAGGTAAAGAAATAATCTAAGTTGAATCCATTCAGTCCAACACATTTCCACACAACAATGCAGTTTCTGTCACAGATCTGATCGACACACAACATAGAGATGGCACAAAGTTTTGGTTGGTTCATGAATAATGCTCTCCTGCAGTTCCCTGTGCAAACCTTGGTCACTCGTCTCATGCTCTTCCCAGATCATCCAAGCCGTGGTCGGTGGCTCACATGACAAACACCTTCTCAAGGTCATCCACATGGAATATCTCTTGAGTGCGAGGACAAACAACACGGCCATCGTTGTCTCCCGCCATGTTCTCCAGAGCCTTGAACAGAGAAATAAAAATAAATCTGTGCGGTCAGCAAAATCGTTACAAATCTGATTGCACTCCTTCATTGGCAATTTTTTTTAAACCCAAAACACTTGAATCTGTTGAGGGGAATCTACTTCCATAAGCAATGTTTAGTAAGTTTTAGTGAGAGTTTTATGACACTTGCAACACAAATAGGTCATATAAGTGCTCTCAGGGTGCAATGTCTATCTTTTCACTTGGAAGTAAGTCCTTGGCTATGTTTAAGGGTAGGCAATTTTCATTTCTCTGTTTGTCAAAAAGCTAGCACTTACTGTGGGATAGGCTATTTTGTGTTCACTTTACCAGCACACATTCAGTATTTTCCTTTTCGAGTGAATGCCTGCAAAAATACTCCAGTCCACAATGCAACTCTCAGGTTTCTTCATCTCTGTTGAAACTTTTTCACATTAAAAAAGTTTTACTCCTATAATATTAATTAACAACTCGTTCACGTTCAGGTCATCTTCTCCTCCCCCAAAGACATATTCAAAACATTTCAGCCTACTCACTTAAAACAACACACAGGAAAGACAGAGAGCCCCCTCCCCGAAGAAAAGTGTACAATCAAACCAAGCAAAATAAATCCCTCTTAAACAATTTTTGGCTAAAGCTGAATATTTATTTTTCATGAGCCCAGAAATAATAACATAGAAAAGGCAGTTGGGACTAAATCAGCCACTTTTGGGGGGTTGGTGAAAACAGTGTCCTACGAATTATGAGAGCAATTATGGGGTATGGTGAAGGCGATGAGTTTTGTATTGTTCCCTGCTTTCAAAGATCAAGCAGAATTATACTTCAAGAGGGAAATTATTTTTATTTTCCTCTCGGACTTGTTTCTATCGGAAGCACAATCAGGAATAAGGTAATCACCTAGGGTCTAGATATGCCCAGATTGGAGGAAGTGGCCAGGGACAAGCAAGATTGGCACCAACTGCTCTTTGCCTTATGTACCTAGCAGTATTTGGAGAGAGTAATAAACACTTGTTTCTACACAGTAAAAAATGCTCACCTTCATTCCATAAATTCTTCCATTTGGCAGCATCATGGGAGGATTGTGCTCATTCAGAGCAAATCCAGTAATACTGCAGACAAGTTTTGAGTTAGCACAGTGAGAGAAGGGAAGGGGTTGTGCCAGCTCATTCATATGGGTGCTGCACACAGGACAGTCCGGGTTCCTCATGGACATCTCATCCTTGTAACAATGACTGGTGCAAAGTGAAGGAATGTTTGAACCGAGCTGGACTGCAGTTTACAACGACTTAGCAGCATTACAATAACCACATAATGCCCCCCCCCCCCCAAAAAAAAAACCCCCAAAAAACAGATTTACACAACAGTAACACGAAAAAGAATAAACAGAAAAATCACACCAGAATATCTCATCGGCCACTCCAGAATACAGTCAAAACTGTTTAAGACGGCCACCCATTGTTGTATAGAAAAGTATCGGTACCAATAAAGTTTAACTGCGCAGGTCATTGTAACCGGTCTTTAGTCTTCACCAATCAAACGGTGCCTTCACAAAATTTTCAAAATATAAACAATTTGACAAGATAGGCATATACCCACAGTAATAAACAACGCTATGACGAAACAAGGCGGCCCTACCCTGTCTCTCCCACCAAACGCGCAGTCCTTTACCAAGAGGGGTGGGGCGGCCAATTGTGCGATGCACAACCAACCCCTCCTATCGCCCGCTCCACACAAGCCTCGCTTGGCCAAGGACCTCGGCACACGCATGTCGAGCAGTGCGTCAAAAAAAGCATAGCTAGCTGCTTCTGGAGGGGGGGGGGGGGGATATTTTACCAACCATGCCTTTTTCCGTTTTCATTATTACTATCATTATTATTTTGTCTCAAGTGCACCTCAAAGAACATTGACTTTAGATCTCTACAGCGGCGTAATTAGTTTGACTATTCTGGGTTTGTGTTCGAGCTTCGCGTAATTTTCTTACAAAGATAAAGAAAAATCAACGGGACCACAGGCACAGTTCGACGGATGCATGATTTCCAGTAATCTATGTTCGACCTATCACTTTCACACAAAGTCAAGGAAAAGGATACGGAGTCTTCAGAGCAGACAAACCAGCCTGCAGAGTTGCTGTGAACACAGAGGTACTGTTGAGCTGGTGGAGTTTGAAGTTGTCATAACGGAATTGTAAAACCAGACTCTGCCAGTTATCCTTGCTCAGAAGATCCTGGAATTGAAAGAAAGCACAACAATCCCACTATCCTTGAACCATGACCAAAAAGGACAGGATTATAATAAAGTCAGAGGGTATTTAGTTTAGTATGGGGTTTTACGGCGCTCGCAACTCTGCATAAGGTCATATGAGCGCGCAAAACAAGTCGTTTTTTTATCTCAACAGTTTATTTCTTGGTCTGGTACTGGTCAATATTTCTGTTTAAAACTTTAAAAACGCTAAAAATTGAGTGTAAATAGATTTTAGATTTAAATTTAAAAGAACTTTCTAAATGACATTTAAAAATTCATAACTTTCCATAAAGGCCTTCATAAAATCCAAAATTCACATGGGATCAACGACGGAAAAAATGTCTTGCAATTTTTTGCATTTAAAGTATTGCCTTCGGGTCTCTCCGAAGTCTAGACATTCTGTTAAAATGTGTCTAATTGTCTGTGTCGCATCCGACACAGAACGGCTTCTTATCTCCCTGAAGGAGGTATTTGTGTGTTAGGGCCGTGTGTCCGATGCTTAATTGAGTAAAAATGACTTCGTCTCTTCCGGAGAGGTCCGAAGGATTTCGCGGTCCCAATTTGGATTAAATATTGCCGAGTTTGTTACCCGTCTGTTTTTTCCAGGGGCTCTCCCACAGACTGGAGGTTCAGAGGGTATTAACCTTCTTTTTTTTTCAGAGGGTATAAACTGTAACATGCTGATGGCAGGAAGCAAAACACTCTTAGCATAGCATTCACAACCCTCCTTACAAAACGATATATTGTGAGTCTAGACATGTGCTAAATTTCAATACAAACAACAAGTAAATAAATAAATGAAGACTCACTGAGTATGGGTTGTCTTGTCTGTTACAATCAAAAGCGAGCATTCCCATGAGCTTCTGTACGTCTGCCACTTGTTGGGGCTCTGCAGAAGAGAAATGCTTCCGAGCATGTCTGAAATAAAATCATAGTGTCAGACTATAAAAATGTGTATTGTTTAACAAGAAATACCTAAACACAATAATATTCATACAGAACTGGAAATTAAACAAGACAGCATTGGGAAATCATTGAAGAATTGCAAAGAAGAGGGACTAGCAAGAAAGCCCTTTGAACCACTAACTTGAGCGAAGCAAATGCTTTGAGGTTAAATCCAAATAGAAGTTGAATAAACATAATATATTCCAATAAGTCGATAGATTACTTTTTAAAATAATGGCTATGAAACACTGACTGGCAAATTTATTAAACAATAAGGATAGAAGAATTGTTATGTGATCATTTCCTCCTCCCCCCCCCCCCCCCCCAAATGCGCTAACTCCTTCTTTACCTCATGACGTACCTGGCGTGTCATGAAAAAGCATAATTTTTAGCGCTGTGCCATACCACGTACGTCATGGAAGTTGCACTCCTGGTTGCCTATATGACATTACATGTACATCACGCTAATAACCTGGCTCTAATTCTTCTGTACAGACTTTTAGCCACAAGCGCTTCATAGATTCATATTCAGGAATAAAAGACCTGCATATCGGTACCAAATTTGCTAGTATTACTTTACTGCTAGGCTTGCAACCGATCGATAAACACAGATCTAGGCATTCAGGCGGCTACGTGCTCTCGTAAAACGTAAACATCAAAATGACTTTAAAAAGGCAAATTAATTCACTTTTGAATTAGATTTACAGGTTATTCGAAATTATGAGTAAGATGGGAGGAAATAGGGAATAAGAAAAGTGAGTAAAAAATGACAATCGAAGACCCGGTGTCCGAAATATATCACAAGAGCGCTAGATTTTGACCGCTCTTTGATTAACACTGAGACATTAGGCTGCTGTCCTGGGTAATGAGCTCAGCTGAAAATCAGTGCTGACAGTAGGAACATATACCCCCTGGCAATGAAAGGGTTATAACTACAGCACAGACAGGACTATGTCAGATAAACAGATAAAAACCAAAAAGTAAGTTTACTTGATAGCGTCCACACGTTTGTTTTCTCTGATCAGCTCCACAAATTCTTGTTTCCTCACATTGAATTCCAGAGAACTCTGTTCATGAAACAAAAGTTATTTTTTTTAAACTATGATGTACATTCTTCTCAATAATGTTGCAGCAAGAATACAGCAAATCCCTTCAAGAAAGAAAAATCTGTATAACTTTCTCTAGCAATGATGAGACACAGAACAGCAATGAACTAAAGAGAAAGGACAGACAATAAGAATCTAAAGACATCAAGAAGAATCTATTCAAGTGAACTATAGAGGCGTGGCAATGAATACTCAAAGTGCAGCTCTGAGACAACCAAGAGAATTTTTTAAAACACATCAGGGTGGAAAGTGAAACTTTGCCCCCTAACTTAAACATCGTACGATAATTGGGGTCAGTCTCAATGTTTATTTTTTTTGTTTGTTTGACATATTTACATTACTTGTACACCCTCACCTAACTATCAAAATAAATGTATTCCACATCTGGATTTTAACACTGACTTTCACTCAGTAACTCAATTAACTATTTAATAATGAATAAAACAGTCATAAATCTTTACTCATTATGAAAATGTCAGACAATTCAGTAACAGAGTATTAAAACTTGTTCTAACCATAGGCAAAGCATACAAAGCCCGAGCATTTCCAAAAGCATGCCAACACACTCACCTTCATTTTGCGAAGCTTTGATCTGTTGTCCGCACACCAATTAAGACAAGGCTTGGTTTCAAACTTTGATAAAGAATCTTCAATTTCTTTTGACATCATGAAAAGATCAATGTTGGTCAAATCCTGAGAAATAGTCAAAGTAGTGCAAGGTCGCATGTGACACATTATTTGTTCATTGGAAGAAATGTATAACTCTGAAAAGATAACACAAACACATGAAAAAGGGACACACTAGATTAAGAAACATGTTCGATCTTGTGTGCTAAAGAAAGTTTTCTTAACAACTTTAAACAATTTAATGACAGACATCACTTAATATGATTTAAAGACAAGGGTCACAAATGCTAACCATTACCTCAATGTTTGAATGCTTGGCAAGTCTCAAAGCAGAATTATAATAGCCTGCTCTGAGAAAGTATTCCACCAGCATGCGGTCTAGCCTGTTCTTCTGCCATGTCAGAGGGGGAGAACTGTCCTGCTCTCCATATGATTTTCTTTCTTGAAGGTGAGCAAGTCTGCGTTTAATGACGTGAGTAGCACCAATTTCCTCCTGAATGCTTTCCTCTGCCTGTGATCAAGAAGGCCTCTTTAAATTCCAGAACAAAAACATCACAATATCACTAGAGTATAGAATATTACAGATATTATGTTCTTAATTAGAAGTACAAGAATGAAGAGAAAGATGTATCATGAGTTCAAAAGTTTTTTTCCATTCTATAAACATATCAAAATAGATTGCATGCTATGATGTACAGACACATTATAACGTCTCTGTGTTTGCTACCAACCATTTTTAAAAAATACAAACGAGTAAAAAAAAACTACACTATAAGTATAATATCCTAGTAGAAACTAAGAACAATCCTAATTATGCAAAGGAGAAATTGAAGGTAACATTTATCAAAGAAATAAGTGCCATTGTAAAGTTTACTTTAAATGGATCATAAATTACCATTGGGTCATATGAACAATAATTTTCAGAAGTGTGATAATAGTTTTTAGAAAAGATCTAAGTGATAGCTAATAATAGAGGCCTACCTTTCGCTTAAGCATAGACAAATTATCCACCATAGTAGTCAGTGCTGAGGTCACATCACCGACGGTTAGTGTAGGTTCTTTCATCTTTTTCTCAAACTCACCAGCTGTAACATTCACCTTTGACACTTCACGATCAATAACCTTCTGTGATGCCCGAAACTGTTTGTTCAACAACTCATAAGGAACCTAATGGAAGATTTCATGAAAGAAAAACATGATGATTTATATATAAAATATACAGTTGCCATTGTTCAAGTGTAAATTTCTTGTTCTGACATCAGTAGCTTTTAAAAAATTATATATTCATTATGGAAGATGACAATATTGCTTTGTCCGTTGAACTTTTTATGTGTGATTAATTTTTATGTGCAATCCCACAGACAAATTCTTTTGGCCATGGAACTGACAGAATCATAAATGTGTAGAAAGTCAGCCAGTAAGGCCAAGCATGATCATGTTGGCCAGTGCCATTACTTAAAACAGTTGAGTAATTCATTTCATCTTCACTTGTATGGTGCAAATAAAATAAACTCATCAAAAAGTGGTGACTTAGACCCTATAATAGAAGTTTATATTTTATAGGATTAAGAGTAAAGTTGAAAAAGCCTGGATAGAGGTACCAGTATCAGTGTGAGGCTAAGGGAGGGTACTTCAAGAAAGATTAGGCCTACAATTTGGCAGGGGGAGCACTTGTAAGCCAACCCTCAACCTAGGGGTATGGAAAACAGTGCCTATATCTATACTATGCCTAAAGCAATCATCTATAACCCCCCCCCCCCACCCACACACACCTTTTCACACTTGAATTTGAACAGCAGGGAGTTAGGTTGTAGAATAAGAAGCTCAGGCAAATTCGAAACACCAGCCCTACACTTCTGCCTAGTCTTGTCCCATCCCCCCAAGATACAGTTCTACATAACCACAGTTTCTTACCTATTCATAACTGTGCTTAAACTTCCAAAACAATCAGGCTGAGATCTAGATCTATAATTGAATGATATAACTTCATATAACCGAAGCTGAGGGGTCAGCGGGCATGACCGGGGGGGGGGGGTGTCAGGGCTAATGCACCACAGCATCATGTTCGTCACGGTTCGTGTCCGAATAGTGACAACCAGGGTTCGTGCTTGTTCCTGGAATCATAATTTATTGTGTGCAAGCAGAAAATGAGAGGCTTACCATCGTTAAGTGTGTTAACAACGAATGGTCTGGCCAGCGGCAGGTCCCACATCCCGCTCAGATTGTTGGTAGGGAGCGAGAGGTGCTGATAAACAGGCCTGGCCTTTTTATTAATGGAAAGGCGAAAAATGTTTTTACATTCTATTATATCGTTCCCAACCACATGCGGTAAATCACCAAGGGCCTAGGTGATTTTATCGGCCTGCAAAAGGTCAGAGGGGAGTCCTCGCCTCATGCCCACACCGATGTGGGAGCTATTCTCAGCAAGGAGGGGGGGGGGGTGTGGTGACAATAGCGAGACATCGGTTTTCTCACCTGGGTTGAGAATAAAGGTGGCCTAGATCTATAATACATCAAAACAAAATGAAGCTCTGCCCTCGTGGCTCTACTCTACTCTGCTACAATATTCATCATGATATAATATCTATATTCACCTTCAATTGAGATCTAAGATGATCTAGAAGAATCTAGGTAGACGACAGAAGTTGTTATCATGACTGAACTATGACACACCAGGAAATGGCTTAACATTTCAGAGAACGAAATAAAACTGGCTAGAGCTGTGACAGAAACACGGGCTAGTAACTTCAATAAGTTAAAGTAGTAGAACTGTAATGTCTTAGAGATGAGTACTAACAGTTAAGTATAATAAAGACTGCTTGGTCTGACTGCCTCATCAGTGTAGGTTTAATTCAGAGATCAAGATGGCAGAGACATAAGGCTTCAAGCTTTATAATACAACTTAAGTCAAAGGATTCTGCTTTAGGAAAACCGGGAGGACTTCCGTAACAAGCGACCACAATGAGACAGATCAGAATTGAGGGCTAGGGGTAGGGGTATATCTAGATCTAGGAGTAGGGGTAGGGTTAGGGTTAGGGTTAGGGTTAGACCTCTTCTTTATAATATTGTGTCTGTGTTTTGATGGGGTGGTCGCTCGTTACGGAAGTCCTTCCGGAAAACCTGATGTTTTATTACTGAACCTAATCCTAAAAAATGGTAGTTTCATGAGAGAATATCATGTCAAAAACACCCACCCAGACTCAGTACAGAAAAAATGTGCGTGAAATTGTTGGCGACACATTCTTTCCACGTATCTTATCTTCATTCATTCTTACAACGAACAACAGCTCTGATAGGCAACAACCCAGTTGTCTTATATTCTTATCAACAAGGTACGAGAAGAAAGGAAAACAACAAAACTAATAGAAACCATCATTACTTTAAGGGTAGAGTGCTCTAAAGTTTTCACGTCCGCCATGGCATATGATCTCGCCAATCGTCAAAAGTAATGTTGAGAATGGAACCTTCCTTGGTCAAGGCTGAGAAAAAGTCAGAAATGGCTTGATAAACAAGGTGTACTTTGTACTGTATAGGTCTCGAGTAGCAATACTAGTATGAAGTTTGTACAGTAGGAAAATATCGATAAACAATTTATACATAGTGTGTAGTGTAAGTGGGTAAGGCAAGAGAAGACCGTAAAAATTTCCAGTCCTCTTACCCTTTGCTTAAAAATTAAACAAATTTTAAAAAATAATGAAACGTTGCAAGAAAATCTTGAAACCCTTCAACCATTTGTGCTTTTGCTAACATGAAACCAGAACAAAAATTATAGACTGACTGATACTGATAGAGAAATAACGTTATTGTCTCTCTCACCACCAGTGAGAAAGAAGGGCTTATTATTAATGTTTTAAAGAATTTTTAAGTCTTGGACCTAGTATTTAGAGTCTAGGAAAAAAAACGAGACCATACATGTGCTGTCGTTTTTTTGTTGTTGTTGTTGTTTTTGTGGGGGTTTTTGTTGTTCGTTTTTTTTTTTTTTTTTGGGGGGGGGGGGTTCACTCTGACTCAGTGCATAGATCTAGATGCCCGAACTTCACAAAGAACATAATAATACAACTATAGCAATACATGACAATGTGTGTATTGTCAATAATATTAACAGCGGAAAGAAATAATAAATCTACGAATGGGAGAGTCTTCCCAGGGGCGGTTCGTTAACTGGGCAAGGGCAAGCAGACAAGCGGAGCCGGTCACTTTTAGAAGGCTGTACATTGGACAAGAGATTGGTTGTTGGTAATAATTCTTATTCAGTTTCAAGTAATCCAAATTAATATTTATCAACATTCAAATAGCACTTTGCCTATAAAAATACGCTCAAAGAGACAATAAAAGATCTTCTGATATGTTGTCGCACCACAAAAACTAGTTCCTGTAAATCTCTGTTTATCTCGCTGGCTCACAACGTTGTTGTTACTAACTGCTGTCAGGATGCGCGAGCCGCGAGACTTTGTACCACGTGCTCAGTGGTGACGTCACCTAGGTCGGTGAACTGAGCAATTGCCAACAGAGTGGAAAGAGCCCTCATAAAGATCACTTTTCTTGCCAATTTGGCTCTTCTGTTGATTATAAAGGACTGTCTTGAATAGTACATATTATAGTTTTATTAGTAATATTTATCATTAAACCTGTCTTTGTTTACTGTCAGTTAACACGTACAAGTACTGTTATAATGGCTCCAATCTTTATCGCTAATCGAATTTTGGACCACCCATGGTTCTGTTTGATTCTGATCGCCGCCTACTACAACCTTACCTGGCCTTTAAAAAAAAACAGGCCGGTAATTTCGAGATTTGGTCAGTCAGTGTAAATCAGGAATTTTAACGGAGGTGGGAGTCGCGGGCTGGTAACTAGCGAACGACACTTACCTGTCAGTCTGGACTCCACCGCCCCCCGCCCCCTCTCTGCGTAAATGTGTGTGGTCGGGGGGGGGGGGTCGATGTGAATGATAGCCGGTCAGTTTCACAAACCACGATCCGCCCCTGGTCCTCACGTAGGCCTACCAATAACCCACCAATTTTCAGAAAAATAATATTGGTCGAAGTCAGGACTGCTGTTAGCAAAAACAAGGCAGATCTTATAATGCTAGGCTAGTATAAACATAACTGACAAGAAAGATAGGCTAGCTGTGTAGATCTATTATGAATTCTTTTTGCCTTTTAAAAGATTATTACGTAGAAATGTAAACTGCAGTAACTGTAAATGCGAAATCTATGAAAACGAAAAATTACTACTTGTATGCTGGCTAAAAACTTGAACTGGCAAATGGCAAAGTTTGAGCACCTGTCCTGTCACTGTCAACAAACTCAACGAGGACTGCGCTAGCCTCTCACTCTCTTGTTCTACTACTGGAAAGGGCATTCGAAAAAAAGATCGGACACGTAATTCGTAATTTGCAGTAACATAGATTTAGTTTGCCTTTGTGTATGTTTGCAGTAGATCTATAATCTATAACAAGGGGAAGATTGAAGAATACCGGACCACTCGTAAGATCTATATCTAGATCTAGAATCTAGAGATATATATATAGATCTGGTGATCTTGTAGTCCACGATCCATTTGTTTACATCCAGAGAAGAAATCCAGAAGTCTTGAAGACCAAATACTATTTGAATTAGGCTACACAAAGAGCAGGGATGCAACCTAACTGCAAAACATCAAATTAGGATAAAATTCAGGGGAGCATGCCCCCCTGAACCCCTCCACGTCCATATTTTTTTTAGGTCAGGGGGGCATGAAACCCCCCTGCTTGACTTTAACGAACGAAACTACAAAATCGCCCTAGATCTAGATATACTTGCACAAGAATGTGGGGTGGGTGCCCAGTGGGTGGGGGTCGGGGGTTCAGTGGGGTCTCCCCCCTGACAAAATTGTAATGAATAGATCTAGAATCTAGATATAGATTATAGATCTAGAATCTAGATAAATCTACCGGTCCGAGATTCACCATTGAGAGATATTAATTTTAAAAACTGGGGAAAATCATGAATTCCTAAGGTTGAGACATGATGGGCAAAGTCAGTCCAATGATGGTCCAGTATAACAAGAAAAGCAAAAATAACAAACTGCGGTGCTTTTTCGGTAGTTTCCACCCCCCTTATTTGAGCCTGACCTAGATCTACATCTAGATCTAGATCTATACGTTTGATTCGCGGTGAGCTAAGATATCAAACCTAACAACTGCAAAACATTAAATTATGGTAAAATTCAGGGGGGCATGCCCCCCTGAAACCCCCCTTCCTATTTTTATAAGGTCAGGGGAGCAAGCCCCCCTGAAACCCCCCTACTCTTGTGGCCCGAACCCGTGAATAAAATTGCGGGGTGGGAACTACCGAAAAAGCGCCCAAACTGCTTCATAATGCCCAGTGCACTTTAGTAAGCCTTAGCCTTGTTGGCCTTGCCTAAGTTCAAGTTCTTCGTCATTCAATAAAGTAAAGATCTCCGCTCGGCTTTGGACTTGGGCAGCTATCAGTCTCACGCGATAACCTGGTTTTGGCCCCAACGATAACTAGATCTATGGCGTGTGGGTTTTGGCTCCACCGACGATTAGATCTACTTCTGGTTCTAAACAATTAGCCTACTTTTCTACGCACATGTCAATATGTTTGATGTGTGACGAACAAGAGATATCAAACACATGTGATCAAATGTAGAACGACGCAAACTTTATAGGTAAGGTGGCCTTCTTGTGTGACGTCAGACCGGGATAACCCTCCGATCACGTGACTGCATCTAAATATAGCCAACCACGTGGCACCAAAGATTCTCTACTTGGCTACACAGTCTTGAATGGCATGACGCTTTGGTGCGATGTTTTTCCAGGAATACTGGTAATGTGATATGATGCGGTGCTCCGATGATGCTGCTGCTTATCTCTTCTGCGCATTGTTTATACAGGCCCGGCGGGGGGGGGAGGTAATCTTCCGGTGTCTTTACAGCAATTTTCGTGCGCTTTATTGTCTTTGCATTTACTGTGTTTCAATTTCAAGCATCAGCGTTCTTACTGTTCTGAGCATCAACGGTCTAAGCGATCTTCCATCATGTCGAAGTGTGATATTTTATCGTGTGAAACACATCGATACGAATAAAATACGTCAAGCCAATGACCCACTATGTCGTTCCATCAAAGTTCGTGTTTAGAGAATCTTTGGTTCCAAGCAGTATCTCCACGGCCTTCTAAAATTAGTCTTTTGGTATCCCAGGATGTGATGACATCACATTACTAAAATTAGCAGCCAATCAGGCAGGTGTGTCCTTCTATGTTTAGCCACATGTCAAATGATCGACCATTTCGATGCGGATCGTTTCTTTTAAAGTTTTGTAAGCACAAAAAATTAAGCACTTACAAGAGATTGGACTCAATAGAACGCTGAGCAGCAAATGGAGTAGATCTAATTCGAGACTGCAAGATATTTGTAAATGAATACTGTGAGGTGCAAAAACTGTGTATACTAGGGGGAACCGCTAGGAAAGACTCAAAGAAAGAAGCTTGGAGACTGCCAATACAAACCACGCGCTACACAAAATCATCACTATTTTTTAAATCACGATCAGATGTCGCAGCGGGCATCCCCCTTGCGAGGTCAAAACAAGAAGGCTGTTACTTTAAATATCGACCAATGGCATTTAGTTGTCTTTCTCAAGCTATCCGCTTGTATAGAATCAAACCTAGTTGCAGAACATCACATCATGCTATGGTTAAATTCAGGCATATTTTTATTAGGTGAGGGGGGCAAGCAAGTGAAATATTACTGTTCATTTTGTACTGAAAAATAGCAGCATATCTCTCGCTCTCTTATACAGTATACAGAGTATATTTAAGTCAGTATTGATATCCCCAAGTACTCTTGAGGCCAAAACCGGAGAATGCCAGTGTCACTGGCCTACTGTCACTTCCACTTTATCAATCACTTGCAATTATCACACCCTCGAACAAAAGCAAAGACAATGTCTACAGAAATGCCAACTAGTACGATTTTACGCATTTTAGTACGATTTTTTTCCTAAAATACGCGAATACGACTTTTCATGAAAAAATACGCATCCTGGAATGCGAAAAATAGGAGATTCAGCTTGGGCAAGTTATCCTAATTATTTCAAGTCCCATCTTTTGTCCAAATGGTTTCAGTATCGCGGAACCGGAATATTTGAAAACCAAGTCTGATAAGGTCAGTAAGTTCAATTTTGCCAGTCACGATTGTGATATTATGTTCGTTCAGCTTTTCCCCGTCCGAGAGTACATTTCACTTTCAGGCGGCAGGCTCGATCGGTAAAATCAAGATCTACTTTCACTTTCGTTACCACCCAGAAGTTTGCCAGCGGTAGTCTGATAACGCAACATTTGTGACCTGCAGGTTGTGCAGTATAAACGCTGTGTCGCTGTGCAAATAAAATTTAATCAATACTCCAACTCATCTCTGTGCTGTCACTTGTGGGGAAAAAAGAAAAGAAAATACAAGCGTCGTCCAATGTTTAGATTGTCTGGCTCGCCATCGTGACCGGTCAGTGACCCTGCGCGCATTCGCATCATAAAAATACGGCATCGTGTGAGCAAAGACCGTCTTTGATGGGAGTAACAGCATGGCGAAATATAGGACTACGGAATAGGGGAGGGGATTATTGATTTTTTTTTAAAAGATACACTGGGGTGGAGGGGGGGGGGGGGGGGTGAAGGCAACGCCAGAGGACAAAAACTAGGAAACTATTTCAGTTCAGTATTTTGATTAGAGCTCTCTGCAAAGCGCGCATTGGTGCAGGCTGTGTGCGGAATAGGGACCCTTCATACTTTGCAAGTCTGTATTATTTAAATAAAGTGTTCGCGTTTCATTGGATGGGTGATAGTAAATTATACCTACACTGTATGTTGTAGCTTTCTGTTTCAAGACTGGCAGATTTTCAGTGTCACTTCATCTTGCCCTCCAGCAGTTGTTACAACTCTCACACAGCGTGAGTCTACTTGAGCCATTCAAGTTATTGCTTTTCTATGAGTTTGAGCAATAATTTTAGTCTGTCAGTTCATAACATGAATCATGACACCCAGACTGGTTCTTGATAGTCGAAATTCTTGGTCTAGGCCCTTCCGAACGCTCAAAGCAGGATTAATTTTTTATTTAACAATGAGACGGAAATATAATAGACTGAAGTACTTAAAAGTCCAACAAGACCCCAGTGCGACACTGAACACTAACATATTGTTGACTGGATATATGTATATTGTACGCATGTGTGCTCCCTTTTTCGAGCTGGTCTACTAGTAAATTTTTTTCAGGAAATATTGCTGGACACCGTGAACATTTTACTAGTTGGTTGGTCGGCCGTGGGGAATACACTTTTCCCCCTGAAAATACACATTTTCATATTTCCCAATACTCATTTCGGTTTTCTGTGGTTGGCATCTCTGTGTCTACAGACTTGTCAATTGTTTTATTTTAGAATAAAATTATTGTTACCTTGATCTTGTGTTTTGTCTTCCATGAGTTGAAGTTTGAACTTTTACTCTCAAGAGGCTTGGTTAACTCTGGGGGAATTCATTTCTAAAACATGAGCTGGAGTTAAAAATCGTAAATCACCGTAATTTTGTTAAAAGTAGGTGGCAATATACTGGCTTTAAATAGGCCTTCCATAATGATTTTGATGGGCATTGAGTATTTAATCTAGATATCATAATGGTCGCTCGTTATGGAAGTCTCCTGTTTTTGTCTTAGCTGCTGCTTCAAAGCTAGTATTGTTGTTGTGAATAGTTTTTTATATTATTACAAAAAAGACTCATGCTTTTCAGGAAGTCTAAGATGTGGGTGGCTGGCAGGTGCTCTAGTATGGTTTGCTTCTTCTTTCCTATCAAACATCTATCGTCCTTATCTTTCCTCCTTCTGTTTTGTATTTGTTACTCTCTTGTAACACTTGTAACACATCTAATATTCGGTACTTATATGACCTTATTGTGTTGCAAGTGCCGTAAAACTCTTACTAAAACTAGAAGTCTAGAATGTCTGAGTGTTCAAGGATCTGCTGGGTTTTGAGGGGGGGGGTTGCTTTGGTAAGTGTTTTACGGTGCTCGCAACTGCACAAGGTCATATGAGCGTGTGGGACACATTAGCATTTTCAGTTTGTAGGAATTATTATTTAATTTTGCTTGGGTGGCGGCCGAAGCCTAGTCTTTAGTACCAATTTTAGGCTCACCAAAGGATCTTTGACGTGCACAACTTGCACACTGGACCTCCTGAGATTTTTTCGCTTTTATTCGAGAAGGTTAGGTTTTAAATCTTACCTACCCTACTAAGATAGAGGTGTGGCTGAAAGACAGCAGTAAGAAGGAGCCAAGGAGTAGCAATAGAAAGGCAGCAGAAAGAGTCAGGAGCCCAGAAGAGGGGGGGGGGAGGGGGGGAGGGGGAGGGCAGACAGTGGAGATGAAAATAGACGACAGACAGAACATGGTTAGAGAGTAGGAAAGGAGCAGAAAGGAAAACATTTTAGAGAAGAAAATTTTCCCTCACTGTCAGGTTTCGAACCGGGAATCTATTGAATGAGCGGCGAACACCTAACCTCTAGACCACAAGAGCCCCCTAGGATCTGCTGGGGTAATAATAGTTAAAAACCACTAAGAGAATGCTGTACAGCATGCTATATATACTGTAATTATTATTATTATTATTCATTTCTTTTTTATTTTCACTTGAGAATCTCAAACAAGATCTCAAACTTTATTATGAAATTGTTTGTTGCTCCTTGATTAAGATTGCTTGCAAGTGTTATTTTCTTTTTGTTTTCCGTCATAATTATGAAGTATCCAGATCTTTATAAAATCTAGATCTAACTTTACATGTGTTTAATCCAGATTATTTGCTTCAAACTGAATATTTCCTCAGAAATGCTGAGAAATTTGATTCTGAAATTCAAAGAATCAACAAAGATATCGTCCAAGTTCTTTAAAATGGCTGAAAGTCTCGCGCAAGCTGAGGAAGTCATCGGGGTAGATATAATTTATCTCTTGCCATATTGATGAAGCTCTAAGTCTCACATACAGATTTGTTTGTGAACCATTTGTAATCCTACTCCTCTGCTAGCTTCCACCCAACTTGCCTGAATAGTTCTCTCTGTGTGGCCGTTTAACATTATAATCAAGATCTCAGTAGTATCATTTAATGTGCAGTTTACAGCTATATGAGAGCAATTTGTCAATAAGAAAAAACATTTTAAATGAATAGAGATCTAGGTCTGTACTGATTTGAAAATGTTATCATATTTTTACCTATGTTCTATGTATACTAAAACTTGCTTTTTGTAAGGAGGGATGTCTTTGAAAACAGACAGTGTGGTGCTGCATTGGGCCATATTATGTTGTGTGAATTATGATTTTGTTTTTGTATACATGTAATATATATATATATATATATATATATATATATATATATATATATATATATATATATATATATATATATATATATGAGCTTTTGCCAATAGATGGGTACCTAAAATGTAGCACAGATGGTTGATGATAAATTTCTATTCATGTTTATCTCCTCCTACAAAATGTGTGTGTGTGTGCGTGCGTGTGTGTGTGTGTGTGTGTGGTTTTTTGAAAATGAAAATATGAATCAAGAAGTGATTCACAAGAGGTATGGCAAATGGAGAGGAATTAAAATTAATTACGTTTATAGTTCCCAACATGGCAAGCCATAATCTATTTGAGTTTTACATGTAAACTGGTATAAGGTGGCTTGCTTTTTAAATGACTGAATTAAAATTTGTAAAATGATATAGATAACTGCATAAGTTTAAAACTGTCCTCATAATACTCTTTACAGTGACTCTTACATATATTATTCTGCTGTCTCTTCAGAAAAGACCTGCAACAGAAGACCATGAGCCAGTCGTCCCAAAGAAAAAGAAAAAGAAGAAGGGACAACCTGTGAGTGACTATCATAATCATATCTTGATTTAATGAAGATGAAGGCTTGTTCATAGTTTGAATGCAGTTGTGAGTTCGAATCCTGTCAGGGGCACAATGTTTTGTCCTTGGGAAAGACACTTTACACAAATTGTCCTCACTTCACAGAGGTGGGCATAGGTACCCAGCTACAGACAGGGAAAGATCTTGTCAGTTTGTTAGTGTTTGAGTGCTTAATCAGCTGCTTGCATTGTATTCAGCCCGGGGAGTCAAGAATGTTTCTGAGTTTCTAAATGTTTAAAGGCCTGCAGGGGTAACGATATAATGTAAGGCACATAGAGGTTGCTGTCTAGCGGGGATATACGCTGTACAAGTGCTATTTGTTATTATTATTAATTAGCTATCCACATAAAAACTTCTCTTTTGGGGTGTCCGTGTGTAACCACCCAGCCTCTGTGTCTAAGAATATGTGTTGATATTCCTTTATATCAGAGTGTACAGATGTAAACCGCTCCGTCACTTGGAATAAGACATGAAATATGTCACTGGTGAACGGGTTAATTGCTGTCTCATTATTGTTGTTGATATCATTTACCTTCATGTCTCCCATAGTCGTGCTACAAGCACAAGGTCTCTCTTTGTAACAGACGATTGGCCTAGTCCAGAAAAATGACGTTGAGTTGACTTTATCCACCATGTACCTATGTTAAAGAGCTATGCTTGTATCTAAATCAAGCCCTTTGTTACACATTACATTGTTGTTTGGGAATTTCCAATTCCATGTGCTAAAGTGGATGGTTGGGGGGTGCTCTGATTTGCTTCTTCTTTCCTATTCCTATCAAACATCTATCATCCTTATCTCTCCTCCTTCTTTTTTGTGTTTGTTGCTCTCTTGTAACACCTCTAATCTTCGGCACTTATATGACCTTATTGTGTTGCAAGTGCCGTAAATAACTTACAAAAACTAAACATGTGTTAAATCAATTATGAGATAAGATCTGCATACTAATAAGCATCTTCCTTTCATGACCTCGGATATTTGTCTCTTTGAGGAAACACATTGTGGTCATTCGACAATACTTGAAAAGGATGTTTTCTTTTGGGGAACTTATAAAAGGAAGCATAACTTTATTGTTATTATTCAAACAGGATTTCTGTTCCATTTTTAAAAAATCTGAAACTTAAAAAGGCAGACAACACCATACATGGTATTAAATATGCAAATTAATGTTTCTGATTTGTGTAAACAGTTTTGAATGTGCTGCAACATTGCCTTTGTTCTGCTGCTGATTGGACATTATAATTGTCCGCTATGTCCATTTAAAGATATAAAAACATCATTACAATTTTTTCCCAGGTCACTCTTGGCCCTTCAGAGAATGCTAAACGAAAGATTGCCCTTCTTGTTTCATACAATGGAGCTGGCTACTATGGTGTGCAAATGTAAGTGTATATTTATGTGTACCAAATGTGGTGGGAGATGTTTCCCAGACAATAGATAGTGAAGACTGAGCAAGTTTGCTTGTGATTTTTTTTTTCTTTTTATGTCTTGTTCCAATATTATCACTGAATATTTCAGAGAGGGCGAGAACATGTATGAGCATATGAAGGTTTAATTATAATCATAACCATGTAATTGTGTTAGAGATTTAATTGAACATGACTGTAAAATCTTGATGAAAAAAAGGATGTTAGCTGAATGTTTGTAACACAAAAGTAGGTGGAAAAAGAGGGATAGATGATGATGATGAGGAGAGTCTGGTCTGGTGAAATTCCACAAAATATTCTAAAGTTGATTATTCAAATCCAGCTTTTCTTCTTTGACTGCTGTAGAAATCGTGGCTTCGCTACCATAGAGAGTGAGCTGTTTCCAGCATTGGTGAAAATTGGAGCAATCCAGCCAGACCATGCAGAGACACCTTCCAAGATGTGGTTTCAGCGAGGCTCAAGAACAGACAAAGGTGTTTCTGCTGTGGGACAAACGTTTTCTCTCAA